AAGGTATACCCACATGTGGTCTCTTCCACTCAAACTTTTTGGGAGGCTTCTGGGAGAAAAGATCTTCTCATCGCACGGCGGAAATTCTGGGTCGGACCACAGCGTCCCACTGGCCAGGCACTCAGCCTTGATCTGTGCGTAGGTCTTCTGATGGGCCCTGGGCATCTTGTCTTCCTCTATGGATAGTCCTCGCAAGGAAAGTTGTCCTCAGGTTGTCGGTGGATGAAACCTGTTCTTGTGTGCTTGAATCCGACCACAAGTTGTGCGGCTCACACCCACTACTGACTGTTGCGGATCACGACAGGTTCTAGAGACTTCACTAGACTCCACCCCTTTTACCCAGATGTTAGGCATATACAAAGGCTTTGTGCAGGGTTCTAAATTATTCAGGGTGGCACGCATCACCAGCTCCAATTATCTCCCAGCCTGCCCTCAGATTGGCTGGATGACTACAAAGAGCCCACTGACAGACAGAAACCGGTTTTGCAACATCGTTAGACATGATAAATAGTCCTCTTCGTAGGACTGCTGTAACTGTAATAGTATACTTTATTCTCACCTTTTGTGAAAGAAACGTCACATCACACAATTGGTTGAAGACAGACGGTAATTTTTGAGTAAACCCAAAATATTTTTCACATGTTGAAAAAAAAAAAACAACCTCACCTGATGAGCTGGACCAGGTTGGGACTGTTTAGTGAAGCAGGTGTGTTTATGTTTCGCCCCAAACAGCTCGGGGCTTTATCATTAGGTAAACAGACAATGGAAATGTTGCATTCCAAGAAATGTTTGAGACAGGAGTTGTTGACAAAGTATGCTAATTGATTAATTCAATCATGCTTTCTCCAACAGATTTTATTGGGTCAAAGACCTTTACTAACTCACTCATGTCCCCAGTCAACCCTATTGGTTAATAATCTGCAAAACTGGATGTGTTTGCTACACTGATCCTGTTTAGAACTTCCAACATGCATAATTGTTCACAACCATTTGATGAATATCACCTGTGTAACTTGAAGTTGAACCTATGATTTATTATTACTACACAGAGCCTCCAACCTGCAAGTGTAATTGTTCACTGGACCAATCTTAAACTGAGCTATATGTACTGAAGTTGTATAAATGCCATTGCGTTAATAGGTTGATTTAAATGTTCTGTGGCATTTCAGTGATCACCAATGCATTAAAAATTGTTGGAAGACTCAATTTTAATACATCCAAGAAACAACTGTATAACTATGTTTTAGTTGAACAGCATAACTATGTGGAAGGATTGCCTCCTGGCATATTTATCTGGAACTGCAGAGGTCTGTTTATTCCTAACATTACAACAGAATCCATTTATCCATTTTCATGACTTTTGGCCTATAGGTAATGTTAGTAGAGAGAAACATACATGTAATTAGATGCAACTCATATAATTTTAACATAAAACAATTATGACTAGAAAGGCCAATATTTGCTTAGGAGCAAATACAGCGATGGCTTCACCACATTTCACGACATGGTAGGGAAAGAATGAGAAACACAAGGGAAAACAATGATTTACATTGATATAACTATAATATGAAGTAACATACAACTAAAACAACAGTTGGATAGCTATTCCCTACATTATTGGTTAGGATTTTTAATTGCATAATGCAAACTGTTGATTTTCAAAATAAAAAAAAACGTTCATGCCCCACATTCCAATGCTGGAGCAGGAAAGCTTGAAATACCTACCAAAACACTTGAATACAGACATACTGTCAGTATGAAAATGCTCTGTGCAGGTGTTAATCAAGTTAAATCCCAACAGCCAATCAGCAAGAAATGCTCTGTGCAGGTGGAAATGCTGTGTGCAAGTGTTAATCAAGTTAAATCCCAACAGCCAATCAGCAAGAAGAATAGAGGAAAGCTGCATGCCTATTGGTTGATGCCCTGCATTCCATTGTGATGACTCATGCCCAAACGTGGTACACAGCACAGTAATACATTTGCTATAACACAGCCAAAAAGCTCAAATAAAACCATTCTAAAAGCCTGTATCACAAAAATTTAAAAACGCCTGGGGGTATTTGCCCACTGTACCTCCATACCAAATTTCAGGACCTTAGGCCCCAAAATGAAGAAGCTGAATCCATTTAAAAAATGGCAGGAGAAGAAGGAGAAGGAGGAGAAGAAGAAACATCAGAAAAAGCAATATGGTTTCACCACACCCATAATGAGTAGTAAGATGGTGAAAGACTTACATTAGTTACAATCTTAAAAGTAACTGTTACATGTACTTTATTAAAGTCAAGGAGGTAACCTCCTTGCTTTATTATAATGACAGTGATGTCAGAACAGGCCTTGTCAGCACTTATAGTGCTAAGGTTACAAATTATGATCTATCATAAGATCAATAAATGTAATGCATAATTACTGGTATGTCAAAAGATCAATAAAGGTGAGGCACGATCGTGACAAGATGAGTCCCTCGTGAGTTTATATATGACAATAAGTAATCAGTGCTAATCTGGCTCTTTCTAGCAAGGGCACACAAAGGGGTCATCTCAGAATTTGCACAATGAAAGCCTTTGACTTCGAAGTGTGAGGGTACAACTTAATCTCCAAGCAGATCCTAGGGTGGCATAAGACAATTGTCAAATTGACCAGACAGTATCCATTGTATCCAAAGTATTGGCCAGAGAGGGTCCAATGCCTTGGGTGGCACGTTGGACCCTCTCTGGCCAATGGATACTGCCTGGCCAATTTGATACTGTCTTATGCCACCCTAGGATCTGCTTGGAGATTAGGTACAACTGTGGTAAAATTAAGGAGTGTTAAATAGGGGAATACAGAACAAAGCCTATTCCCTAATTATGAAGTCTTCTTAAGACAACATATTAACGTTACACTGTATCTTCTACACTGTATGAATCTTTGTATAAAAATAAATCTATTAAACATTTTTGCCATAAATTTTCTTTGGAATGTGAAATTGTGAATTTCCCCAAAACGTACCCATGGTCTTTTCCAGACGATATTTCTTGGCAATTTGCCGGCGTGGGACGGGAAAAGGGAGCTGGCAACCGGGGGGAATTCTGGATCCACCCAAAGTTCTCCTTTCCGCAGACATTCCGCCTTGATGGTGTTGTAGTCCTGTCTCTCCCAGAACGGGGCGTTCGCGCGCGGCTTCTGCCCCAAAGGTCTCCTCACCACGGGCGGCCGACGGACACAGATGTCGTTGAAGTTGTTCCGGTGTTTGTACGACATCCAGGGACTTAATACGTTATCTAGCGCGAAGGAAAAGTGTACCCGAACCGCTAAAGGGCGACATGGACGGACGGGGGGCGAACTACTCTATACGGGGACTAAGGTACACACACACACCTGATAGCGGTCCCACTACAGCATGGCGGAAACGGAAGTGGACGAGTCAACTAATTGTTAGGGATCCCTGAACATCTAACGAGAAAATGTAAGATACAACATCACACTAAACCGAACAGTCTACATGTTATTCCATATTTTACCGCTATTTATAGGATGAAAAGTCATAAAAGATACACCAGTGATTAGTTTCTGTTAATCCACCGACGCGATTTTTTACAAGACACCCCGCCCCCGCCAGAACGTGGTACGTTCCCCCAGATAATGGTTTGTTTACATGATATCTGATATATGTAACAGGTGGGTGGGAAGGTGTGTCCACCACCCAGGCATGGTTGTAGCAATACTCAGGCATGGAGCCAGTGCAAACAAGGGAGGAGCCGCGTTTTCTAGGAGTGTTTGTATAATGAAACACCCATTTCCTCAGTTCATCAATTAAAGATCTGGGCAGGTTTAGTTTTGACCCAAGGTCTTGAAATGAATGAAACTGTCCGCTTTAGAACCAGTTTAGAAAATTTCCAGATTATAACATGACATCTAGATAGGAAAATTTATAAAAAAAAAAAATTAAAAAAAAAGCACACTCATAATTTAACATGCTGACAGTATGTCCAAACTAAACTCAAAGTCAAGTGCATTTCTCAAAGAGAATTATGTAAGGTTACCTCCCTTTTTGACGTACTAATTATCAAACTGTGGGTGTAAATTTAGTAAAAGAACCTTGAAATGATGGTGTGACTTTCAACACATAACTGATATTGTTTTGCCACTCCTTGATGTGTTTAACAGTAGTGTCATTGTGGAAGCTTAGTAAAGTAAACCTTTGTACTTGCATACCATGTCTTTACTGGATGCAGAGCTATGTTTTGGCTTCCCTTGTCACAAAAGCTCTAAACAGAGCCATTGAACAGGAACTGCCACATACTTCACATAACGTTGACTCCAATCTTTTGTGAAACTAGCTTTGAGGTAGTACACTGCTCAACAAAGAACTTCTGCTTTCCAGTGATTTAACATTCCTAATTAAGCATGTCACCAACTTTTAGTCTGGACAACATCCTGATCAGGTTCACAAATATCCCAATAGTTGCCCTTTTGAAGCAGTTCTCTCTGACATTCCTTGTTGTACCCGCCATGTACAAGCCTGGTTACATTTGAGCTATGCACACAGTAACGTTACCTCCTTACAACAAACACTAAAAACACCTGGGACACAATCTACAGTCATGACAGTGTATGCAGGCAATGAGAAGCTATCTTATAAAAGTTAGTTTGAAGTCAACACTATACAGATAATGTTAGTCACACTGCCAAAGATGCAGAACGTCATTACCAAAAAACACTGCAGCTAGGGTGTAAGATTTGAACTCAAATGTGTTTGCAAACACGTGGCTCTTCAGCTACGTGTTGACATTGTGACTTACTGTACGTTAGTAAGCATTAGTTATTGTCCAGTTTGTTTACTTGACAAACAAAAGGACATTGGACTGTTGTTTCATATCAAACACTAGCCAGTTTCCCTGTAATTTGAATTGATAAAATATGTGTGTTTGCTTCTCCACACAGTGAAGGGGACACTTTTCTAATATTTTTTGCACATAGTGTTAGTTTGTTGTAACAGATGTGGGCAGCATGCAATGTGCTGAAGTTTTTTTGTTACTATCTACCATGAGAGCAAACACACCAGTTGTTGTCTTATCATCTGCTTACTACCAGTAGCACCTCTCAAGTAAAACAGAAANCTTTGAGGTAGTACACTGCTCAACAAAGAACTTCTGCTTTCCAGTGATTTAACATTCCTAATTAAGCATGTCACCAACTTTTAGTCTGGACAACATCCTGATCAGGTTCACAAATATCCCAATAGTTGCCCTTTTGAAGCAGTTCTCTCTGACATTCCTTGTTGTACCCGCCATGTACAAGCCTGGTTACATTTGAGCTATGCACACAGTAACGTTACCTCCTTACAACAAACACTAAAAACACCTGGGACACAATCTACAGTCATGACAGTGTATGCAGGCAATGAGAAGCTATCTTATAAAAGTTAGTTTGAAGTCAACACTATACAGATAATGTTAGTCACACTGCCAAAGATGCAGAACGTCATTACCAAAAAACACTGCAGCTAGGGTGTAAGATTTGAACTCAAATGTGTTTGCAAACACGTGGCTCTTCAGCTACGTGTTGACATTGTGACTTACTGTACGTTAGTAAGCATTAGTTATTGTCCTAGTTTGTTTACTTGACAAACAAAAGGACATTGGACTGTTGTTTCATATCAAACACTAGCCAGTTTCCCTGTAATTTGAATTGATAAAATATGTGTGTTTGCTTCTCCACACAGTGAAGGGGACACTTTTCTAATATTTTTTGCACATAGTGTTAGTTTGTTGTAACAGATGTGGGCAGCATGCAATGTGCTGAAGTTTTTTTGTTACTATCTACCATGAGAGCAAACACACCAGTTGTTGTCTTATCATCTGCTTACTACCAGTAGCACCTCTCAAGTAAAACAGAAATTTATCAATTTTATTCCTATGAATCACAATGTTGATGTTCCCTGGTGTCCTAGAGAAAGACGCCATTTCCTTCCATAAAATTTTTCACACATTATAAACTTGATATCTTTTCCTAGCCACTAAAATGCAATAAAGATACAGAGCAACAAAGGAATTCCCACTATCAACAACAGAGATAAATGTATTTGCATTTTAGACACGAAAGAAATAACACATCATTGCTGATAACAAAGGTCAAACTGTAGTTGTAAAGGCAAAATGGTATGACCACAGAAATGCCAGTAGAACCTTTGTTGCTTGCACACAAAAAAATATCATATACTGTCAAGTACTAAGATTGAGCACATGTACAACACAATACTTTGGTGTATTGGCAGTGTTGTGTATGTGATGCAATGTATGTTGTACAAGAGGCAAAGCAGCAAAGCTTACTATTACCCTGTCATGTGGAAACATTGGTACAACAGGCTTGCAGACAAAAGTCTGATACTGGTAATTATCTATCAAAGTTTGGCTTTAATCGTTCCATACTCTGCATGTCACATAACAAGTCAATGAGAGATCATGCATGCTTAGTGCATGTGTAACATACATTGACACTTACTGCATTGAGGCCACAAATCAATAAAAATGTTTTACCTTCAGACTACTATACCATGACACATGCATTATACTGTTGTGCTATCTATTCAGTGTTTTTTGCTTTCATATCTATGTGAAAAACTTTACTTTTGATGGAGGATCTGTCCTAACACTGTACATTATTTCCATCCATACAAAATGGAGTAATACTAATACACCTCTGTGAATGCAGAGTAAGGCAAATCCTAATAAACAAATTTCATGAAATACAAACACAAGTGTGATAATGTTCCTACCTACTGTACTTCCAAAACTATTCACCAGTAGTAATCATATACAACTCTGTACACCCATTGATAAGCTAATCTTACATTCATTGATCATACTAATAAAGAAATTCGTCAAGAATACTAGTACTAGTAAGCAATATACATCTAGTACAGTTCATTTTCCAAAGACAATGTTAAGTCTTTTCATTATATTCTCAACTTTGAGCAAATAATCAGCTAGTGATAATAGTGTCATTGCGTGCCAAATACAGTAGTTCTTCTACTTTGTTCAACCAAATGCTAATGTACTAACATTTGAATGCAGATAACTTGGCATAGGCCTTTTCTGGAATGAATAATTCTTAAAAACTTTATATCATTGGAATATCCCAGTACCAAAGGACCTGGCACTTCAATACATTGTTTTCATGAATACTGACATTTTTGGACCTTAAGTATACTAGGAGTAGCCTTGGTCATGGACAAGGCCCGATATTTGCTGTTTCAGACTTTTAATAGAATCATTATATGGGTAGATTTAGTTATGCTACCAATCTCTCATAGGCAGCACGGGTATAATCTGAACACTGAACAAGAAACAAAAAGTTTAAAGACCCCTTATTATATTGAGTTGAGAAGTCCATCTTCAGTACACAAGGTATCTCATCCCACGCCACGCCTGCCAAGAACTGGGTTAACTATATGGACTTTTCATTATCTATTGCCACATAAGTAAGATCCGAGCCCCTCTCCCCTGTCCCCCCCCATGTAGCAGCACGGCAGGTTTTGCAGGGTGATGCTCCAGTTCTGTGCCACGTTGACGGCTGGTTTCCTGATCACCAGAGTCTGCGTGTCGGGCGTGTAGCGGAACTCCAGGTTCTTCTTGTCTATCACTGCACAAAGGAAACCAGATATATGTAATATGAATTCTTTTGAATAAAGAGTGTAATACATGTCTAACAGCTTGGTCTGTGTAAAATATGACTGTATGAACCAAGGTCATACCAATCCATTTGGGTCAGTTCAGGACTAGAGGACTAGAATTTTATCACAGGAAACACATTGTTCAATGATGGTCCATGGTCAAATACATGTAGATCATCGAAGCCTTGTTGCACTGAAACTAGTGAAAGTTTTCCAGTTTCCTCTTACCTAGCGCTTCCATCGACTTAACATTAAAAAATTAGTCCACTTACTGATATCTCTGACGCCATCTATAGTGACTGTAGTTGGAGCCTTTGGCAGGCCTATAATGATGATCCTTTCTACCCAGGACTTGGTTTCAAACTCCCCATTCATGTCCATAGTCCTGCATTGGAAGAGATAACATCATAAAGGTACCGGCAATATGCAAAAACGTCTAGGGACTATTTCTGTAAAGAAAATAAATGTGAAAGCAAGAAAGTCTCCAAACCACAAGAAAGTATACACCCTATATTTAATTCCCACTTTGGTTTGAATCTTTGTTGGATGTCTCACCTTGATATAAGTTTGTTGTTTTCAAATAAATAGTTCTTGTGCAGGAACCTGTTGTTGTCTCGGTACTTGAAGCTGTGACCGTCATCCACAAACAGCTCACCAGTTGCAGTTCCCTACAGAGGAAGACACCACCATACCAGGCAAAACATCATATAAGGTTAAAGTAAATGACCCTGTCTTGTGCAAAGTATTGCTGTTTCTGTAGTGACATTTGAAGGTTTATGACTTTAAATATGAGGAGGGATTGATAACCCCAATCCCAACCACGTAACATGCAATTGCTTTATAATTTATATAATTTGTTCTGGAGCTGAAACTGACAGGTTAACCCACCTGCTTGTCCAGTGCTATGGTAAAGGTGTAGGGGTCTCGGCTGGTAAGAGATGAGGCCCGTCTGATGCGTTCCTTCCTGGCGACAATAGTGCCACCTTTCTGGAACACTGGAATCTGCATACAATGTAAGTACAGTGGGTATCGTAGAAATGCACATTACCTTTAATTGATGTTACTAATGCTTTCAATGGCTATGTTGTACTGGCATGACAAGGAACCAAGTTCATTCAAAGGATATCAATAATTTCAATAATGCGATCCCTGAGAAGGCAGCACTCTTACCTTTGTGAGGGTGACAGGAATGTACTCAGTTACCCCACCATTGTGTCTTTTATGGGTATCAACATCGTACCACACCTAGAACAGTGTAAGAACATCAAAGTCAGTTTCTGTACAAGAGAACAATGAAACACATTTCCCACATTGGGATATTCTTTATTCATCATTCCCTCTCAGATATCTTTCTTACATGGATAGCAAAACAGAAGAAAACATTCATTCATCAAGTTAAGTGCATAGTTTTCTTTTCTGCTCAGCACTATGCACTTATGGGAAAGAGCATGGAAACTGAACACACTCCACTACCAGTGAACTTGTCCCTTCTACTGTTGTGGCCTGTGTATCCCATGGGCTATAGAAACAGAGATGGACATGGATTCTGACTTTAATTGCACTGTTTGACTGACTTACATTCATTAGCAATGCTAACAACACATGTACCTGTCCCTCCCCTGGGAAGTAGACTTGCACACCACTAGCTCCAGCCTCAGTCACAGGGTGAGCCAGCAGAGCATAACCTGCAACAGGCCAAACAATGGGTGAAAAAGTGGAAACATGAACAGATCTACTTCATAGCCTATAAACAGGAATATCTTATAAAAGAATATACAAAGAGATACTATCAGGTAACATGTTTTCATGGTAACATTACCTATCATGAACTCATCTTCTGTTGCAAATGTGCTGGTGTCCTGAGGAAACTCCACCCACAGGGGTCTGGAATAAAGGAACGTGTCTTTATGATATGATTATAGTTAAGACATAGAATTATGGACACAACAGATGACTGCGATTATAAGGATCTACAAACTTCTAAATCTCTGGTCTCTTGAAAGATCAACTTTAACATACCAAAATAGACGGCTAGGATTGCTACAAGTACTTGTACTTCCCATTATTATCTGACAGGGACTCATAAACAACATAACACAAGCAGCACAACCAACTTCAAGGATATGGTCCACCTACACCCCAACAATAAAAGTGCAGCACACACCCCTAGGTCCTTGACCCCAACTCTGGGTTTGACTAGTCAAACAAGAACTAACTTAGAGGCAAAAAGGTATAGTCTACATCTTGCATCAAGATCATCATCATTCCAGGGTGTTATCACACCTATGGAGGAACCTTCCCTTGACAGACTTCAGTCTACCAACTTACATCAATACAAGGACAGATTATCGAGTACTGTGTCAAACCTCATGACAGGCATGCCTCGGGTTGCTGCCTGGTAGAACAAGGTGTACCAGTACGGCAGCAGGGCGTAGCGAGCACGGATAGCCTCCCGTATCCCGCCCATCGTCTCCTTGTCAAACAGCCAGGGCTCACGGCGACGGGTGTCCAGATGGGCGTGGGCACGGAAGAACGGCTGGTATGCTGCAGCCTGGCAGGACACGTCAACATGGGAACAAGTTCCGAACAACTGTTAGTGGGATTGTGCAGACCATAGAAGTCCAAATTGCCATTGTTAGAAATAGTGTGTGTGTGCTACAGTACAGGATCAACCATAATCAAGGCAAATACCAAGGGTATGAACTACGCAAAGTCGTCTGAGGAAGGATTGGGATACAAGATACACAGACACAATGATACATTGTATGATTCAATGATACATTGTATGATTAAAGTCAATCATCAGCACAGCCTTATAACCTTTTTGTTTCATATAGAAGGGATTTGGCTTACTGAGACCAGAACTCTACTCAAGAATCATTCAAATTTGACAGAAATGTAATGGTACCTCATAAAATATAACAGATTCCTACCTGATACCATCTTAACAACAGCTCCGAGTCTGGATTCTTGAAGAACCCTCCCACATCAGCTGTAAATAAAGAGTTTATAGGTTTAGATATAATGATACACTCTAAAACATAAGGATTTTTTTGAAACATTTGATTTAATTAGAGTGTAGTACTGTCTTTTGCAAACATTAGGTCATAGTTTGTTACTATTTTTGTAATTGTTGACTTTCATAAATCAGCCATGCTGCCTATAAGTCAGTGTAATGCATATGGTGACATATTGTTGCATTTGACGATTAGACAAAGTCTCTGAAACGGTTTTTAATCACGTAAAGACAGAACTGTACTGACCTCCCACAAATGACTGCCCTGCTACGCTGAGAGACAGCAGCATGGGGATGCTAATCTGCAGGTGGCCCCACTCAGCTGTATTATCACCTGTCCACACAGCACCTGCAAAATACTCCACAATAAATCCCTTTTCCTTTCCCTAATTAAGTTTTTATTCCCGATAAGGCAAAAAATTCAGTAGTGAAACACAGAATGAGGAGTGGTGAGATAGCAATCTACACTACTGATTTTTCTTACATAATGGGAATGTGACATACTTTACAACTGGAACTTGTATGAACCTTACCTTTAAGTTAAGCAGACCACAAACTTTAACGAATGTAAACAATGAGTAAACTGTATCTGTAACAGTAATTCAATGGATATTTTATGACAAAAAAGGTCTTACCATATCGGTGGTAGCCAGCAAAGAAGGCTCTTGACAGGACAAAAGGCCTCTCCTTTCCATGGGACCTTTGCATCAAGCCAAGGTAGGTTGATTTGGGCTGGGGAGAAACATAACTTAGTGGTCACAAGAATTATTCTTTACCTTCATCTAGCAGAATGTTGAAAGGACCAAATGTAAAGAAAACACTTAACAGAATAGGAAAATGAGTCCCACCAGGTACATGCCGAAGATATTGTGGACATCCCTGTGTTCCCAGCCGCCGTAGTGCACCGCGTCCTTGTGCATGGTGATCTCAGGACCGTTGAATACTGAAGGCTCATTCATGTCGTTCCAGATAAACAGGTTCTTGGTAGAGCCCTAGTGATATCCAATATCAGATTATGTGATGTGGGGAAATTTTCACTTTACTTAATTGGATGTTCAGCTGTGAGAGACACACAGCATGGTCTACCCAACTAGCCAATGGCTATATTACAGAGGGCTATATCCACGGCAACAGTAATAATATGTGAAGTAAAGTAAAATATTAGTGAAATATGTTCAATCCTTAGAATCCTACTAGCCACACAAATTTGGTTTTGATATCAATGCTGTCAAACCTTCATATAGCACTAAAGGATGTAGTGTTCTTTCTTCTATTTTCTGCCGGAGATGCCAATGAATACTAGGGATAATGTGCTCCTTTCCCATAGAAATCTGTAAAGTTTGGTAAAAGATAAATGTGAAGCCTGCATGAATTGACTCTCCTCACCTCGAATGTGCCCAGGTCAAACCTGCTGGCCCACCAGTCACGGACAGTAGGGTTGATGAAGTCCAGGTAGCTGGAGGAGCCTGGGATATCAAACAAAGGGGGTCAAAAAAGTCAACCAAACATGGTGGGCTAAAGGCACTTTTAAAACTACTAAACCTTTTTTGTCGACAGAGGAATAATAAAACACCAAAGTTTATGTTCCTTTTGTTGTGTGGAGTGACAAATTTGAAGAGGACAAATACCTGGCCAACACCACCCTTCAAAGTCCCCTCCATCCTTGCTTTTGACATAGTACCCATGGTCCTTTGCATCCTTGTGGATGTGGTAGTTGTCATCTCTCTTGATGTGTGGGTCCACAATCACTACCATCTAGCACATGGGAAAAAGCAACTTGTCATAAAATCAAAGGGAGCTACATGTATTATGCATCAACACTGGTTTGAATCTGTAAAAATAGATGTAGATGCAGTCAACACAATATACATGTAGACAGTGTTGGTGTAATGTTTCAAAAGGCACCTTAGCATTCTCATTGTTTGGTACAACAATTACAAGGACCACTACCTTTTTTTTATTTCAAAGAGCACAGGCTGCTAAAGGTCTTGTTGCCTTACCTTCCTGCCCTTCGCTGCAACCCTGTCCTGCATGTCTTTAGGTGTGGGGAACTTGTGCTTGTCCCAGGTCATGTACCTGATAGGTAAGTAGAACGTACTATGACTTTGTAACAAGTTTATTGGGTGTTAACACAATCACATCAATCAGTTCCAGAAGTATACACACATTCCTGCAAAGTTCCTTAGTTTGTATACATGTGTGCCATAAGCTTTGATATACCATTATGATTCATGCAGATATATTTGTTGACTGAGCAACAAGAGAAACGAAAACACAGGAGCCATTGGTTTGGCTGAAGTCAGCTGAAGTTTTAGCTCACCTTTTACCATCAGTGTGCTCAATGTCTAGCCAGAGGACATCATATGGAATGTCATTGTCATCAAACCCTGCATCAACACTGTAAGGGAACAATAATAGAGATATCAGCAATAAAATCATACTGTTCATATCATACAGTCATGTACATGTATAACCTTAAGGGGGAGGTGATATCATGAAGAACAATGTTACCTATCATGCCTAACATTAAACATCAATATATCATGAGAACTTTCAATCCAGACATACAACTGCAAATTGTCACTAATTACTTTATACAGCAACAATTGGTAATGTGCCAGAGAATAATATTTATAATGTGTACATGTATGTTGGATACTCTGGAGATCAAACTTTAAAGATGTCAACTTACTTCTTGACATCTTCTTCATCATTGTAGTTCCACCTACTCTGGTGGTAGGCAATGGCAAACAGCTGCAATTGGATGGACAATTTTATAATCACAGTGTATTTACAGAATTACCGGTAGTGGATTTTATTCTATTGTGCAACAAACATACAAACTACTGAATAGAAGTAAATTATGTAGTTTGGAAGGTTTCAACAATACTAGTTTGACTATCCTTTCCATATAACAACCCCAAAATTCATCTAAGGCACTGTTTTTGGTAAGATACATTACTTCAACAAATCCTGTCTTTAACTTTATATGCCCCAAACCTGCAGTTATTTAAACAAATGGAGAAAGACAGAAGAAAAGTCAGTAACCCACAGGAGGCATGGCTGGTTTCCCGGTCAGGTCTGTGTACTGTGAGAAGACTTGTCCTGGGTTCGGTCCCAGCATGAAGAACACGTCGATCACACCGCTCTCTGATATCCAGTGGGTGTCGGTCTGCGGCATCTCACTCCCACCCTTCACATAGTCCAACATTTTCCCAAACACAGTCTACAGGCAATAAACAACAAATTGTGGCAAGATTGTGAAACTGAGAGGAAGATATCGGTAATAAAAGCTTTGAGGTTATCTTGCCATTTGTGGCATTGATGTCAAAGTAAAGCATTCATCGCCGAGTATCCTCTGAGCACCATTTTTTGTTTGCTTGATTACCCCCTTTTTATCAAAACTACACAACTTTCTAAAACAAAGATCAAAGTCTTTGACTGACACATGATCAGTGTTTTTAAAAGTCTAAGATAACACAAATACACCATGCAGAAGGAGGACCTAAAATTCCATACTGAATACATCAGAAACAAAATCCAACAAACTCATCCAACTCAACTGGTTGTGCACACTTTCTCTCATGCATATTAAAATGTCCTGTAGCAGGGTATAATCCAGAAGAAGTGACATAATAGATATTCAAGATAGACTCTTTACATACATGTAGAAAAGTGTCAAGTAAGAGGAATCAACAGTGCAAAGCTTAGTTACTTTGTGTCTCCATTGTCCACTTAAATTAGGGTAAACTGACAAAACGGAAAGAGCATCTCCTTTAAAACGATTTTTTGCAACATATCACCATGCAGGGAAATGGTAGCCTGGTATCCATCCTTTTCTAGGTCCCTGCAAAATAGTCTTGCAATAAGTGATAGAGAAATGACTGGCATCTGAATACTCATACAAAGTAATTATGAGAGAGCTCTGACTGTCTCTGAATATTTCTTAGAAGTAGTATACCGGTATCTGGGATAGAACTTCCAAGTGCTTGCGTGAACCCTGTTACCATGCCGTTACAGAGAACCTTGCAATTTGTAGCCGATCAGAACTCTAATGCCAATTGTTTATTTGTCATTCTAGTGCCAGACTACTAGTATTTGTCAAGTAAGCAATCAGAAGACATAGAATAGGATGGATACCAGCCTAGGGAAATGGTAGAAAACAAAACAGGACTTGCAAGTGCCATTCTGTATCACATGCATGCCACCCAATTTGTTGCTATGCCTGGTTGGTGGGAGGGTAATAAAATGGAACATGAAAATCCCACCAGACGAACCTTAGCGGAGATCCACTATGTGCCCAGTATACGTAGAGAACCAACACAAACACCAACACCAAAGTAAAAGAAACAGATAAGTTAGAATTAATTACTGTAATGTTACATCATTTCAACATGGCTTAAACACAGCAAGCATTTCTACAGTTGAGATTCCTATGGAATTTGTCTTGGTCTTAGTTCTTCGTAAAGAATGCTTCAACTGATCTCATCTCCTCAGGATGAGGAAACTTGTTCTTGAGTATGAAAAGAACACTGAGTGGACAATTTTTTTGATTTCTGTCAAAACATTTGATAGGAACAAATTCATAGTGGAGGTAAAGAAACTGGGAAGTTGTTCCTTGACAAACCAGCAACAACAAACTAACACAGTATTACTCAATCATTTCTTCCTTCTGTAGAGGACCCATGACACAGAAGAAACACATGTGCATCTTTACAACACACAACAAAAGGTACAACATAGGACACAACATTACTGTCTGCCATTCCACAAAATTGACAAAAATGTTCCACACCTTCCCAGCTGTGTTTGAACTGATGTCAATCCAGGTCTCAGCAGCATTCATCCAGAACAGCCCTACAGTCCGCTGAGCACTGCAATAGGATAAAAAAAGTATTAAGACTAACTGGGTTTACATGTACATGTAGTTTGTAGTAGCTTACTACAAATACAGGTCATATCTCAAATCTTGCTGTTGTTATATTGTTACTACATTTTACTTTCAGATGTTTATCATTGATCATGAGTGGTAAGATTTTTCTTTTTTTTTTTGGCCTTAGATAACTGACAGCTATCCCCTTTCTTTGAGAGTTAAGAGCTGTAACAGACTTCTAAGAGAGTAACAGATGATGTCTTACTTGTGTGCGATCATGACCGGTATGGAGCCGTACAGAGCCATGGGGTTGTGAAGCTCATACTCGAACACATCCAGGTTGTACAGGCGGTAGGGCTCTCCGGACCTGGGGGTACAAAATCACAGTGCTGTTTTGTTATGGATCTCTGGAACTGACGATGACACACCAGTTTTCAACGTTGAGGACTATGAAGAACCCCTTGAAAGGAATTCTTGTTATTGAAGGAGTCAGCAGGAGTGTCAGAGTTGATTTATATAAATATTTGTATGTGAATATTTCATTTGTAAAAGAAGACCACAATATTCCATTGAACTAGCGTACGTGCATAAGTAAAAGACATACATGTATTGGCTTTGCCATGAACATACATATAGATGATCACTATGTTTTACTTCTACAATATCACCATGTTTTACTTCTAGGTATAAAAATACAAATGAGCATGGTTTTTACATACGTAGTGGTCTTGAGAGCGAAGGTGTCAGCGTGTTCTGGGATACCATACACATGCTCCACACCAGGGAAGGAGAAGTCCAGACCAACAGAGCTAGGACCTACAGGGAAATAAATCATCAAACATTTTACAAGATGCCACTGTTGTAAGCAAGAGGAACAATGCCTGTAATGTATAATTTATCTATTCTGTAAAAAAGAAAGTGTATTGAGTTACAGTGCACATAGAAAAAACTTTTGTTCCTGCTATATACATTTGTATCTCCCTATAAAAAAAAAGACTTTTTGAAGATCCATCATTCTATACAAAACCAATGATAAGACTGACCATAAGGTTTGGAGTCGTGGTGAGACTTGAATGTCTCCTCCCACATCCCTGGTTCATCCTCCTCCTCCACTGGCTTCTCTTCATCACCTTCTCCCTCCTAATGCCACACAATACACAGTCAACACAAACCTTCCTAAAACCATACAATACGCAGTCGACAATTGTTGTGTATTGTTCACTGTCAACAATACACAGTCAACACAACCCGTCAATGCCATCACTGTAACACAAAGTGTTCTTGATCTCAGGTCTAGGTTGAGGAATGCTAATGGATTTTAGCAATAGCAAGTCTTTTCATATGATGTGTGACACACCCTTCACTGTGTTCTCTTAGCGGTAAGGAAAATTGATAACATATGAGAGGTATTGAATATGAGAAGTGCAGAAAACATACTCAAACACTGAAAATTACCACCTTCCAAGCAAGAAGCACAGCAATGTCATAAAAAAGTGAATGCCAGGGAGAGTTTTTAGCACTTCTGTACTCAAAATACTAATTGCTGACAGAGACCTGACCACTAACCTGCTTTTCACCCTCCTGGTTTTCTCCATTCTCCTGTCCCTCTGCTGGCTCATCATTGCTAAGGAAGAGAGGAAGAGAGAAGTTTAGCATCCACACATCTATTGAAAATACATGTAGATGATCCTCATTTGTACAAATGACTTCTCTAAAAAAAAAGACTATCTCCTGAAGACTTACTTTTTGCGTTTCCTGTACTGCTCAAACTTCATCAGCCCGCGAGAGTTGACACTGATGGCCAGCTCGTCATCCACCAGGAAGTCAATCCTGAAGGGGTCAGAGGTCACCACAGCCTTGTTCTGCAGAAACCCGAGGGTGACACTGTTGTCGTCCTGGGCTAGTATACTGGCCCTGTACAGGAACAGAAGAAGGGTTAATGCAACATGTACTGTATATCATCAACAGCAAGTATTTTTCAGAACAAAGCATCACTCATTGGTTACTGAGAAGTTGAAGTCAGTACATTTTCATTGAGCCGGGAGATTGGTGTTTATTTGAAGAACCTTTCCAGTAACACTTTATTATCAGAAACAGGTATGTGCTAAAAGATGAAAACCTCAAAAGGATAAAGGCCTTCTTCCCTTGACATGCAATGTCTAAAAGAATAAAGTCTTCATTACATTTTACGGAGCTCAGGAGATCACAAGGGCCATTGAACAGAAGAACAGACATACTCTGCGATGGTTGGTTCCTTGCTGAGGGCATCTGTTGGCCTGAACCTCTCTCTGATGGGGTTGATCTCGTCGATGGTGAGCCGGGCTGTGTTTATGTTGACAGCTGCTAGGTGGAGCTGCAGCTCAACCTTGTTCCTGGTGTTCAGCACCTTCATGCTCAGGCCCTCCGGTGTCATCTGGACGGTGTCCATCAGTGCACGGTACGGGGACATCCCTGGCTGGAGATTTCTGTGCCGCCTTCAGAACACAACAGTTTTACAAAGACAATATGTGTTTCATTTGTGTACAATGAACAACACACAAACTGAACAATCTTTTTAGCCTAAGTGAATAAGGAACGAATGGCAGTAACACCGCAAACATGCACATCCATCTATACAGAATGACAATTTCATCTGAAGACAAGAAAGCTTCTGCCATTACTTTAAAAGAACACAATTTGTCTCTTACTTGCAGAAACTGCTTTGGTCACATGTCTTGAAGTTACTTCTGTCTACTGCCTCTGCTCCGAGAACACACAGTGCCAACAGTAGCAGTAGCTTTGGTCTGGGCATGTTCCCCATTCTGAAAAAAAATACCAACATGTAGACACAGTGCTTTAAATAATTAGTTAATAAAGCAGTTATGGCATTTGGTACAAAGATGTGGTCCCTTTCAATCTCATTCAGCAAAGACATTCTTTTCTTTGGTGGCCTTAGGCTGATCAAGGACATTATACACTAGGGCTGCGGACCGGTACACTGTACCGGTCCAATACCGTAAAAATCGTTTCGGTACAGGTCCAAAATACCGGATCATGACGTAACGAGTATATACCGAAATAGCTAGTTTACACCATGTATATGACTAAAGATAGGTAAATCCTACCACAAAGACGAAAAATTAGCACTGGAAAAGACGTAAACACCGTCGATTGATTTGAGATCCTCAGTCTCACGAGACATCGCGAGAGTGTGGCTAATCCAGGGTTGTGATTGGTCAACAAACTCAAATCAGGTCATAAATAAAGATACTGACAAGTTGTCAACACTTTATTATTGTTTCTGTGTCATGATTGAAAACGTGAAGAACACGTGTTAATTTGTCAAATTGTTCAGGTACAGGTACAGGTCCGGACCTGTACCTAAACCTCTGTACCGGTACCTGTACCTGTACCTGATGTTACGTTTAGGTACGCAGCCCTATTATACACAGAGTAATGTATTTAAGGACATTAAACACAGAGTGTATAATGTCCTTGGGCTGATGTACAAAGCACATTAATTTGTGGGCAACGTTTTACATGTAACGTTAGGTGCTAATTATATGTATCTTGTAGTTTTGTACCTACTAGTATGCCCAGAAGCCTGTTTCTTACCTGCACCTCTTGCATACAGTGTAACTGTGTAAACTCCCTACCCTTTTGCCGACCCGCTCTTACCAAGGTTCGCGGAAAATACTGACCATTCTGTCTAAAAAATATAGGTCAGGCTAACAAAAACTACAGCCGCCTTCATGGACAAAGCAAATCCGGTATGTAAACTAATCTGAAAGTTACGCCACGCTTTCAGCATCACATGAAAATCTCCTATTTTTTATTTCAAAGTTTAGACATCGGTTTCCAACAACACCGACTGTTCATAACTCTAACGTTAACGTTACATGGGAACAAAGGCCATAGATTATGGCCAGGTAACACATCATCATCCAGAAAACCGGCCTCCAAAAATTACAACTGAACGAAACCTTCCTTTAACCGTAAACTCCAAATGAGAGCACTACAGTAGATTAGCCCCATCTATGCCCAGTCTATGGCTGTCAAGTTCCGACTTATCTTCATGTAAAAATGTACAATGAGGGATGTACACGTAAACTAAAAACCCACCTGCTCCACGTCCAGCTGGTCGCGGCCATATTGGAAATTCCCGGATGAGGCTGCAGTACCGAATCTATGATAGGTGGCGCTGTTTGTCCTGACGTGTCATGATCATCCAATGATGAGGTTTCCCGAGTCTCAGTGGGTCATCATCGCTGGAGTTGTGTTATAGCCTCAACCAGGCTTCGGAAGCGGTTGGAATTTTTTTCACCCATGCAACCCAATGGAAAAAAAATTCCAGTGCAAAAGAGAAACCCCGATAAAAGCGTAAAAACACGCCAAAAACAACCCCAAACCTCTGCTCGGAGTACTAGTACTCTTTCGAGCCGCTTCCGAAGCCTGGTAGAGGCTATTGTGTTATCTTACGATAACTGTACTGTAGACACACCCGTGTCACGATATTGCGGTGCCTTTGCAGAATCCGGATCAGACCTTATACAACCACAGTGGTATACAACCCACCTTCTTGTACATGTACAGTATGTATAATAATACGGGATAAATGAAAAGTTATCTTTTTTCCCGAAAAAAAATCTGGATTTTAGATTTGTCATTGCAATGAACCCTAGATCGACAACTGTCATTATGGGATTAACGTTATAGCTATAGCGCTTTGACAATTCGAGAGTTGTTAAACCTCTTTCGCTTTGCGATATAACTGAAATGGTATAACTGAAATGGTTCTAAAAGTCATACTTTTCAAAGCTAGGTATATGGGATTCTACGGTTGACAACTGATTTCATAATCATCGGAAAATCATCTTTTCACCGTGACTAAGCAGTTATCACCGTGGATCTCCTTTTACGTTCTGACCTACTTTTAGCGGGGTGTACAACTCAACACCTGGAAACTTAATGGTTGCAAAAACATATTTTTGTCGGACCCCAAAAATAAATTGTTGGTTTGGTACTACCCAACCCTTTACACTCTTAGAAGGGCAATAGGCGTGCCATACCTTTGTGTGTGTTAGCATAGCGGGGGCTTGTGTGTGTGTGCTTAACAGTTCAGAGTGGCTCCCTTGCTAATGTTCTGTCCTGTCTGAATATTATTCAGTGCTCATCATATCTTTCAACCTTGCTGAGTACATCTACCCATTACATTCGATGTGACATTCAGTTATCTCTGGGGATTAAATGTTGGCCTTGGTCAGATTTGCATGACAATGGTTGCCATGTATTGTTGCCGTGACGTAGCCAGGCCTGTCCGCGCCGTGACTAGAGTCAATGAGAGCCCAGCCTGCTCGTTCCAGGTCACGCACCTCTGAAGACATACCTGGGCGGGAAATAATGGCGGACTGTGTTTTTCGCCTGGGGGATGGGGTATAGTGGTGGTTTCAGGTTTCCCTGGGATCGGATTCATCACATTTTCTAATATCATGTCATGCGGAGGGTCCGAAGCAATACACGTCGCAAGTAAGTGCGTTCTGTACCGTCCGTTTGTGGTGCTGTAGTTCGGGTGGTGACACCTGTTTCTACAAGTAACATTCACGTATCTATGGGTGACAGCCCGAGGCGTCACAGGACGTTCAACATCCTGTCACGGTAGTGGTAGTGACTTCCACCTTAGTCTGACTTTATTCATTATGAGGTATATTGTCTATATTGTCCTTGCTATCAGTATATCGAAGGCCATAAGCCGATCGTTTTCATCTGCTAGGGGCATAAAATTTCTGTTCGTGTTGGTCCTTCGAATATGGTGACAACTGGGTCTGTTGTTTTTGTCACTTGGCGTATATTTTTGTCGTTTTGTCACTTGGCGTTTATTTTGCAGATATGTCAGGAGAAGTCAAGAGTGGCTACATGAAAAAATACAGTAAGTTGCACCTCACGTTTTACCAACAACAAAGACAAATCGGATCTCGACTGATATTATTACCCGTTAGCATGTCCTTCTCAAAACTATTAATTAGTGCTATTCACCATTTCCGACAAATGATTTTTTTGGTAAATTGAATAGATACAAATAAATATGCATATATTTCCAATTGACTTTACACATTAATGGAAGTTACGTTTTTGCCAAATACTCCTCAAAAGATAAAGAAGTCATGAATCTTTGATTGACTATTGATGGAGGGAATTTGATTAAGTCACTTGATCATAATGCGTCTGTAAGATGAGGCCAGCAGCACGCCTTCAATAACATTAATGTGTGATTGTACATAGGATGATTGATTGCCATGATGATATTTGACAACAGGAGTAATCTTCCCATTGTCCGGTGTAATGTCTAATAATATCACAGTGGCAGTGTATTTAATATAATAGATATAATCACCAATATAGTCTGTAGTGTGAAAATCTCAACAAGCCGTACAGAAAAACATTAAGACGACGGAAGTAAAATCAAACGTCTTGGCTTCTAGCCGGCTTTATGTTCAAGAGCTGGAAGCAGAGATATGTGACGATCTATGCAGACGGCCAGCTGGCGATATTCGAGGCTCCCGGCTCGGCTGAGGGGGAGGTGGTGGCGATGAGGAGGGACTGCAGAAGTCTGCAGGTAGGGACTGGTTTTGCTATTGAAAAAAATTATTTCAAAATATTATTTCAAAACATCATTCGTCGCACTCTGATTCTTAACATTATTGAGCTTGCTTTAATTTAAGAGTTCCACGATCTCATACCTTCGCCAAATGATGTTAACCCTTCCGGTTGACGAATTATAAATACATTTTAACTCATTGATTTCGCAAATAAGAGACTCATTTGAATGGATTGTATCAGTTGATATTCTCCACCCAATGACAGCCTTATCTTATGCTATGTTATCAGACAAACAGACAGACAGACAAACGCTACCAAAACATAACCTTCTTGGCTAAGGTAATAAGTATGAATGTATGAATGTATGATATAAGGATTCAGGAAGATACATATGTACTATCACTTATTGTGGTAACATTCTACATATAAAGCTGGTCACTGAAATGAATGTGCCGTAGGTCAAATATAAACCTAAGATTGTATGTACCCAGTTCTGGTCTACAACTTAAACAGATGATACTAGTATTAAAACACACACACACAGAGGCTTTGTTGACATTACAGCAAGGACAACTTTTACATAACAACTCTTATATGCAAGCTCTGTACGTGTTTGCCATGGTGCAAGTAATTATTGTGTCAAATTATACTATAAATCATCATTATTCAATTAAAGATTTTGCAGTTGACGAAATTTCAAAGAGGATTCTTAGTCGAAGATCATAGCTAGTCTCTTCCACCCAATTAACAAACCAAAATAGCAAGGACAACTCTAGATCTTACATAATGCAAACTCAGGTCCATTGACCGGCACGGGTATCAGCTCCGAAAGTGTTTTCCACAGACAGACAGACAGACAAACAAACAGACAGACAGACAAATGCTACTAAAAACATAACCTTCTTGGCGAAGGTAGATATTGGCCCGAACGAGACCTCTGTCAACACAATATACGATGCGGTAAAAGTTTTTGCAAGCATTCTTGAATTTATTCATATCTAGACAAACATCCGATGATCGGTGTTCATGCCAAGCGGTTCCGTTGTAAGTCACGCTAAGTACTGCTCGTCAGCGAGCTACATGTTCTTTAAATAATTGATGTTGTCATTTAGCTTATCTGTTCGTGCAATTTCTCCAACAACAAGTATTGTTACACCATGGTTACCTCTCTGTGACATGAGAAGAATTGTCTAGCCGGGATACGTTCCATTCCTTTTCACCACCGTGATAGTACGGTGGCCTACCGTCCGGTAGACCAAATATCACGGCTGTGACAATGAATGGAGCTTAGCTAGTACACACATTTCAAGAAGTCACCTTTGCTAGACTATATTTTTACTTGACATGTGTACACATCATATGCACGGCGTTGTCAAGACTTCTATATCATCATTGAAACAGGCCATTTTAAACTTCCACAGCGAAATCAAGCTAAAGCTTACCTTTCTTAACCTTTGCTTCTCCCAAGACGTCGCCAATAGATTTCCAACTCTAAAACTCTTTCACGTTCCCCAGGTCGGTTTAAACATCCGTGACAAGCCCAGCCCACCTGACGGCTGCCGGTATGACCAGATGCTGGCCGTGGTGACCAAAGACAAGACTCACTTTCTCCTCGCTTCGGATAAAGACGAACTCAAGTACGTTTTTATAACATGACAATGATGAAATACACATTAAATATAGGCTTAAAAAATCAAGATGCAAGCATGAACATAGAAACAATTTTAACTATCGTTCGATACCCTATCATTCCTAATAAAGCCCTGCACACTAATGATAAACAAATTAAAACAAGACCTTCTCTTGTGAGCCTTGTAGTTAGCTTAACAGTGTTCATGCTCATATCATTTTTCAGTTCGTGGCACGAGGCACTCCAGCAGGCCAAATCGGTAAGTACAACATGAAGCCTCATAAATGTCCAGATCATCATGTGTTTTATAAGGACTGAACTCGCTCTTTATGGAGTTCTCTTTGTTGCGTTTGTAATTCAGTTAGTAATATTGATTTCTGATGGCCACACAGCCCCAAACATCGCCAGGTAGTCCACCGGGGTACCCGGGACCTCCTCCACAGATGCGAGCAGCTGGACCACCTCCTCCCGGCGCCTACCCACAAGGTACGGCGCTGATAACTTACAAGAAAACTTTTACTTACAATTTGAAATATTTTGAAGTTGATTGAGTAATATAGTTTTCTTTCTCATTACCTGGATATCTAACCTTCCAGTCAGTGCTTGAGTAAGTTTTCTTGTGCATCACATAACCTGGATGACCTTCATCGCCGTTATTCAACGACTGTTTACGTAGATTAAGCTCAAGTTCAAAGGGATTGTAATCAATCATCGTCTGAAAAAGACTGATTATTGGGTGTGTGCGGTATTATTTATGTAGCATACGTGCAACATCTTAAAAACGTATCAGTGAAAAGAAATATTGTTTTTCCTCAGCACCACCTGGAGCATATCCACCTCAGCAAGGACCGTACCCGCAGGGTGCACCCTACCCGCAAGGAGCTCCCTACCCACAGGGACCTCCCCCGCCCCGAGCGGCACCCTACCCCCAGGGACCTCCCCCACCGCAGGGGGCACCCTACCCGCAGAGGTACCAGAGACCTCCCCAGCCCATGGGAGGAGGCGGTTACCCCCGTCAGCAGGGCGGGCCGGTGTACAGTCAGCAGCCGGCCGGCGGGCAGACCGTGGTCGTGAACCAGCAGCGGGACCGGGGCGGCGACATGGCCACGGGCATGCTGATCGGGGCTGCCGCCGGGTACGGGATGAGCCGCATGGGCGGCTACGGGTACGGGTACGGGGGTGGGGGCATGGCGGTACGGGGGGCACAGTGAGCACTACGAGGATAACGACACCTACGAGCACAACGAAACAAACATCACCGAGAACCACTATCATTACTACGGTGACCAGGAACAGGGAGGTTATGACCAGGGTGGAGGTTATGATGATGGTGGAGGTGGTTTTGATGACGGTGGAGGTTTTGATGACGGAGGTGGGTTTGATGACGGAGGGTTTGACGGTGGAGACTTTGGGGACTGTGGTGACTAGTGAAATGTCAGTCTTCTGTTTCCTATTAATTGTGGATAGCAAGATCAAAGCTCTAAAAGGTCAGCACAGTCCAAATGTGTGTATTGTTAGACTTCTAGATATGAAAATGGACCTGTAGTCTTTATACAATTTGTACATACATAAGACTATTGTCTATATGCAGTATGTTTCAACACTGTCTCACATCAATTCTGTTTTATTATAGAACTGAACATTTCATATCCTATAGATACAAGTTACCTGTATATTTGACGACCCACCTTTGTTTGTAATATTGTATTGTATGTTATATAAATGTTTATTTCTTATCTACTGTAGTTCTGCAGGTTTTATTGCAACATAAAACAGTAATTCCTTGTGTCCATACAGTACCAACAAAGAAATGTCATTAAAATGCAGTCTAAATCTGTCAATATCAAAAATTATATTCTCTTCAGTGCCTTCAGCTTTGACAGAGAGCTAATAAAGATACTGATGAACACTATAGTAATTGTTTTGTGTCACCAAGTCCTGGTATGTGTCTTCAGTATTAATCTCCAAGCAGATATTTTGGTGGGGGTAAGACAGTATCAAATTGGCCAGTCTGTAACCATTTCTGTGTCCATTTCTGTTGGTGGTGGTAGTGACAAAAAAAGGCCATGTATAAAAAGCAAACAATCTTCCACCATCAACCTCTGCTTGGAGAGTATTCAGTATGTCTGTTAGAGAATACATGTACTTTCTTTAGTGGAAAGAATCTCAAGCTGTGAGAACGTGTGTAGTTTTATCACATTTATTCAACTATGCAGTATCATTGGGTACAAAGATGTAGAAAAGAAGCTATGAGTACAGGTGGATGGGCAGTTCATGAATCATGATTTCAGGGACAATTGTTCTTATTTAAGTCCACAGTGACAAACAAATTAAGTGATGTTCTACCCCTGTGACAAAAAAAAAAAAAAACACAAAAAGATAGTTGGTAGGTTTTACAAACTGACTCCAAATACATTCTGTTCATGAAAAAAACAAGCCTTGTTCTACCAGTGATAAAACAACATTTCTATTTTTTTGCTATGTGGGTAGTCTCATAAGTTACTTTTACCCTTAACGAACAAAGAAACCAACCATAGAATTTAGAAAACCCAGTCCTACAAAAATACTACAGATACGAAAATTTAGTTAAAAACACAAACACATATCTCATTTGAGATGTACTTCTGGTCCTTTCAACATCAACCCTTCGTATAACACCATCACTGTTTTTCACAAGGCACTGCTATGTGGTACTGTATTTTCCCTATTCAGTAATATTCCTTCAAGTACTGTTTTGTGCCAATGTTCCATTGCCATAGATGTGGAGCTTACAAACCCTTGAACAACTTCTTAGTTCTATGCATGTACCAGCAATTCAATCTCACTTTCTTTGTTCAGCATTATCATTACCGAGAAGTACAATTTGATTCTTCATTGTCTTCTGAACTATGCACAAGGGAAGGGAATAAACCTAATAGGGATCAATCCACCAGTACATGTATCTACATCAACTTCTCACAGTTACATGTCTCTGATGGTGGCACAAGATGTGGCAAACAACATTCACAACAATAGTTGCATCTGATTTAAAATCCCCCTCCTTTCCATTGGTTAGAGATGGTTTCTCATTGTGTTATGTCTGTCCCATGATTACACAAGCCTTTGTTACAAACAGATAATTTGCAATACAGATGACTCTTTTTTTTGTACCTGAGTAAGAACTTGTTCACTCATTGTGATGTAGGATGTGACTACCATAATTGATGTGAAAAATAGGACCACCAGATCAACAGCTGTGACTCTACCCCCTCCTGTTACATTTGTACATCTATCCTTCACCCCTCCTCCCAGCTCCTGGCAGCTCCAGTGCACAGCATCATGCACTCTTGCCAGCCTGTTTCCGTAGCATGATGTAAATCTTCTCCTTGATCCACTCCTTGTTGCAGGGAGCATAGGTGTTTGTGGATTTCTGGTATCTATAATGGTGAAAATGGTGAAATATAAAGTTAGAACAGAAAACACATAAACAAGGTCTAGATTAAGCTTCCAACTTCCATGCAAACAGACAGAAGACACAAACAAGAATGGTAAGCAATGAAACAGCATACGTAAAAAAGTAATATGCTACAAATACAGTACCAATGTTCTTTTGAATGGCAAGGCCACCACTGGGCTCTCAAAATCTGAACGGCTCCCAAAACATACATGATGGTCTGAAACTTATTAACTAACATTCTAAAGATAGAATTTTATAGTATACAGAAAAACATGGGATTGAAGGAGTCCTTACACTAGACAGGAGAGGTCTGGCAGCTGGTCGATGAAGTCGAAGAGCTGGCTGATGTCGTATGTGATGGAGGGACTGTTTGGGTGGCTCCTCTTCAGGTGTTCCTCAAAGATCTTACACACTCCAGCTGGGGGGAGACACAACACATATCAAACTGTTGTGATACTAACTGGATATTGGAGTTTTCTTTTTACATGATCAGGAATGTCTCTCACCTGCTTATATTTTGTTGCTTTAAGTATCAGACATCTTCCTCAGATTAAATTCTCTCACTGCTGTATGTACCACCTGACATATCAACAGGTGACTCTACTACAGGTAAATTACATGTATGTCTAACAAGCTATACACCGAACCTTGAAGTTGAACCTTGTCATTTCTTTGTTAGCGTCTACACTGAAATCCTGGGGGCCAGTAGTGCTGTGGTTATTTTTTCTTGCTTCCCAACATCCAGCACACCCTTGCTGACAGGTGAGGGGTGATGTAACTGTTGGGGGATAATCTGGATGTTGGTGTCAGGCTAGATTCTAACTGGGTCGTGGGTTGCAGGGCTTAGCATCCACTGTACTACTCTGGTGAACTGAACTGTTGGAGGTCATGTCTACTGATGTTGACTTATGTCAAAACTATACATGGTAAGATAAACTAACTAGAAAACTCCTCCAAGTTACAGCAAACTGACCTTCCATGCACTCAGTCACAGAGTCGTAGTCTGAGTACGTCCGAGTCTCTGGCCTGGGCCCAGGCTGCACCAGCAGGATGGTGTGAGACTGTGCAAACAGGGGAATAGAGCCACAAATATCATTAGAATGCAAGAACCTTAGGCTTTATAACATGAACAAGACTATATGTTATGTCTGGATGGAATACCAGTTCTTCCCCCCCCCCTAAAAAATTATACATGCAAATTATTGAGCTTTTGGCTTTTATTAGGGAATTTTTTTGGAGGGGGGGGTACTACATCCTGGTTGCATGGATGGGATGGTATTAATTATCGTAGCCGTGCATGAAAAATTTGATCCACTTCCAAAGTACCTTTCCGCCGTCAAATTTCTCATAGATGGTCCAGAGATCACAAAAACATGCCTGTGGCAAGAATATATCTCTGCATGGTTACAGCGTGCTACCGAAGGTGTGCAGCTGTTGTCAGTGTTGATAAAAAATTTGCATCCATGCGGATACAAATACAGAGCTCCTAAAACACAAATAATGTTGTATACGGACTCCCCGTCATGTAAATACACTCATGTCGGGAACAAACTATAAGACTTTCGTAGTAAAAACCTTACCATGTTTGGTTTTCGTTGGAAATAAGGTGTTTTTGGACAGCAAATCGACGACTGACTTGTCTTTCCGCTTTCCCTGCTAGTAAATGGGGCCTCGCCGCTTGGCGGATGTAGCTGTTCATTTTAGTAAAATACAGTGCCTCATTCATGTGACACACTTTACACTGATAAGGGGGTAAATGATTTAAAAACCGGTAACATAAACAGCAAGAAACAATTTTCATTTTATGTTATTTCAATTTGAGCTGTTCTAAGTGTCAAAAATTCTGTAATGTTCACCAAACATAGCCGGCAGTTAATTGTTCACCATTAGACTCCCCACTGATGCATTTTCCATAGGACGAAACCATTCATGTCGGTCAGCAAGGAGCTAGCCTGGGGCTCAGACCGAGAGAAAAAAGTTCTTGATTCCGATTCTGTCCAGAATTCACACAAATAGATCCAAAAGTCCTGAAATTAGAAAGGTATTGCTAACCTACCTGCTCATGAAGAGGCAGAAGAGGAGAACCATCAGGGTGAAGCGACGAAGCTTCCCATGTCCAGCTCAAGCCTCTACCATTCTTGGGGAGGCGGCTGGAAAGAGTAGAAATCCGCCAAATAGAGAGACAGAGATAAGCATGCCAAGGGAGTTTGTCCGCTGAGAGAACATTTCGCCGCACCCGTGTATAAGGATTTTGAGGACTTTGGGACCGATTGAAAGATTTCATTATATGGATGACATCCGCGCGCGCATGGATGTTTGTCCGTTCCCAAAAAGAAAGTTTTCGACCATACTGTAAATCGTACAAAATGAGCAAATATATGTCGTATGTTGCAAAACAAGTATTGGAAAACGATACTAATGTCATTGAATGCCGAAATCAATTCAGAAAAAGAAGAAAATGTGAAGAAATGAAAATTAAGAGTCTACTATTTATTATTCGCCATACCATACTCTGTGTGTTTAGTCATTTGCTCAACCTTTATGACCACGTAGATTTCATAGTGAAGGAAACTTTCTTTTATTCGCATGCTCGCATTAGTTTTGGGGTTCCCGGAGGATGTCATCCATATACTAGTAATCAAATCAACATGGCCTAAAAGCAACTCTGTTAATATATATTTGTGTTATTTTCATGATGCCATTATTGCTATATGCCCACTTTGCATGACTTTGGACAGTCCTAGGGAATGCTAGATACAGCGGCCCTGTCACACGGTGTTATGGAGCTTTTGTCGTCAAACAGCTATACGTATAAGGCCGTGAAATCACCCAAGGCGGTTTACATGTGGTTTTCCCGAAGCCGGTTTCAAGTGGCTCCATGTGAACGCTCCGAAATCACATTGAAAGCGCCTCGATCCCAAGCCACTTTTTGAGGTGGTTTCGAATCGGTTTCCCCGCATCGCGATTTGCGTCTGAAGTTTGAACGCAATGTGATTTCAATGTAACTTCGCCTGGTCATGGATTACGGGGTGATATTTCTTTATTAATATGCAATATCAACTTTGACGTGGCAGCAACTTAAAGAGCAGTAATGGTCAAATAATGTGTCCGTTCTAGGGCGAGCTTCGATTCACCGCCTCTGGCGGGACCACGTCGGCATTCGGCCGAGATACGCTGGGAGGGGGGCATCAGCAAGCAGGTCGTTGACCTCTGACATTAATAACACGCCACCTTGCGTGTTATCATCAAACAGCAATAAATGTAGCTCAAGCGAATTGTGATCGGACACGGTTTCACCAGATGTGAGGAATGTGAGTTACCCGAATCGCGGTTTGGGTGATTTCACTTAAACACGGCTTAAATAAACCAACTACTCCGGTGTGCTTGAACAGCATGAACTGAAGATATTGAACTTTGATCTCGACCACAATAATGTCAAACTGACACACTTGGAACTGGTAGATGAAAAAAAAAGATAATTGCTCGATTACTCTGTGATTCACTGACAGATCAGATATCATAAAACACAACAAAGTAGACCCATGACATTAGAATTTTTTAATAGCCGGATTTTTACGACAATGGAAAACTTGTGATCATCGGATCACGTGCTGTAACCTGACGACCACGGCTATGACGTATAGATCACGTGCTATGTCGTAGGAATCACGTGATGAGTCTCAGCACCACCCAGGCGCCCACACGTTGCCGTAGTTGGACGGGTCAGCGGCTGGGTCGTCAGCAAGATCCGGGAACGGCACTTCGTACGGGATGAGCTCGTTCAGCCGACGGCGCATGGCCCTCTGTATGGCGGCATACTCAGCCACGCCGTACAGGTTCGACTTCTCCAGCGGATCCTCTGAGAGATAAAGCAACAAATAAAACGCCTTTTGAAAATTAAACCACAGTTTATTTCCTCAACGATAGTTTGGCTGCATTTAGGGTGTCGTCGACGCTGCTAGCTACTCCCTGCCGCATGGGGGCGTTGCGACGGCTTTCAGGAGGCGGTTCCAAACGCCGCAGTACAAGTCTACATGTTGTACCCCCCCTTCTCACAATGGCAAACCCGTCCCCCAGCTAGCGTCAAACGGCCAATCCATTGTACATTGCATTCCTCTATCCTTTTATGAAGCATTGTGTGATGCAGTACAGGATCAATATGGTCATAAATACGCTAAGACTCGTATGGTTGTGATTTCTATTGATATATCATAAGAGAGGTTAGTCAAAGTAACACACCTCTAACGTTGAAGAGAAAAGGTCCGAAATCACGGCCTGTCACGGTAAGGATGCCCATTTGCTGCATCTCGGCAGGAGCATACCAGTCATCTGGACAGATATTAATAGGTGATGATGAATGGTTTATGTATATACAGTATATACAGATACGCACTGACACCAGACTCGCAGGCAACCTAGCTACTGGATGCCCGAATTGCGCTATGGTCAACACAAGATATCATTAAAATACTTCAAGTACAACATGCTAACAAAAACGGCATTATTAAATTAATAGTTACACATTTCTAAAATTCGCATTGATTGTAAATATTCCTTTACAAATATGCGCAGCATCATGATGAGCGTACAGTACAGGTAGGTATTCATAATTAAAATGGCAAAAAAAGGTTAGATTCATACCTCTCAGTAGAGCCGGATTCCTGGTCAACAGTTTATAGTCTCCAACTCTTTTGAAACAAAATGGGAAGTAATTTGTTACTACAATATCAGAAAGCCCTGACATCGAGCACCCTGCCACTGTTGAAATGCAGTGCATTCTAAATATTGCCCAATATACCCCTTTCTCCCACTTTTCTTTTACGTGAAAATATTCTGACATCTATCCTACATTCTGCGTTTATTAAATCCCTCCGACCCTCTCCCTGTTATTACCACGTACCTGATACCATAGATGCTTCCCCGGCTCCAAGAACTATCAATGTCGTGAACAAACTCAGTTCTTGGCGAGTCAGCACCGGTAGAAATACTCTGCCACATGTTCATTCCATCCAGCCCTGGGCCTGTTAAAAAAAAGAACAGGTAAAATTATAGTTAAAATATATTGTGGGGTGATATTCTTATATCTTTTGTTATTCTGACCTAGCCTCCTTTGCAGGCCAGGCGGTCAGAAAACTTGGCCAATCAGAAATTTAGTGCAAATAAGTGGAGTGCAAATCCCACTTCTGACACCATGCTACTTTGTACGTTCTTTGGTCAGGACATCCAGACAGATTCATTGCATTTCTCAGCTGCTTTATTCTATAGAGTGTTAGCAACGTACAAGCGTATGTGCTCAGCGGACAGATGGGAAAGAGGCTGATTCTCTAGACGGTCTGATGGAGCCTTGCTACTTAATACTAGTATTCATGGCTATACTAATACTTCCTACATCTGTACGTACCCTCAGTTCCACCTGCCACAGACACGAGAGTAGGGAGGAAGTCCACAAAGTGCATCATACTGAAACAAAACATCAAAATAGTCATCATTTTACCATAGTGACGAAACAGGAAAATACGCATACGCCGCTTACGCGTTACTGTTTGTCCCTTGCGCACAAAAGTTCCGCAAAAAATCTGTGAAATCTGTAACGTTACCCGTTATAGGTGTATCCTAGCCTGTTCTGTCCAGCATGTTGCCGTGTATGAAGGCTGGCACACGGGTTCCACCCTCAAAGAACGTGCCTTTAGCTCCGCGCAGAGGCCAGTTACTTTGCCCACTCGTGTAGTCTCCGCCATTCTGTTAAAGTAGAAATCATTTTTGAATGCCTAAACTTATTAGACGTACTTTTGAATGTTGATTTGTGGTTTTCTTTAGTCAATGCTGGGTGTTTTTAACGTTGACGGCGACGCTAGATTTTTTTAAGGTTGAAAAATAAAGATTTCTGTGTCTTACGTCCGACATAAAAACGGTGAGGGTGTTGTCCCACAATCCTTTGCCCTTCAGTGTGTCCGTGACCCGCTTGATGGCGTCGTCTAAGGCTGTCGCCATACCTAGAGGATCATGGAAGGTTTTACATATATCTTTAGATTCTATCTTTAATGATCGGTAATATCGAGAACAGACAACATGTTTATTTGGGGGAAGTTAAGACAAATGATCAGACAGAAGACGGAGGAATTAATTAATTAAGGTAAGTTGTAAGGTAAAGTGTGGGCATGGGGTGTACATAGTACAAATGTAGAAGAGCGAATGCGATATCATTCTTGTACCAGAGTTTAACGTAGCGTTTTTTACCTAATATCGTTTTCCTGTCGTCGTCCTGGACAGTCGAGAAGGTCTGCGTGTAGCTAGAAGGAACCTGTGTTGGGAGAACACGGCGTACGTTATGTGCAGCGCACGACTTCTCACTTCTCTTGAACATATTTCTTGCGCGCTTTCTCAATTGTGAACATACATTTGGATACAAACAGGTGGCACAGGCGACTGACACGTCACCTAGAAAATCAAGTTTCCTGAATTGAAACCAATCTAATTATCTGTTCTACAGCGTCACACAGTGTTTTCGTATCACAAAGCGGTTCTGTACAGTTCTGCAAACCTGGTGAGGCGTATGAACGTTTTGGAAGGGTAGGTACAAGAAAAGCGGCGTGTTCGGGTCGTGTTGGTTTATGATGTCTTCTGCACGTGAAGCGAACAATTCCTGCAAGATGGAACAAAACAGATTATTGAACATTAAAAAAACATTGATTTGATAAATCGCCAATAAGAACAAGAGCAGATTTTTTTTCATTTCTTTGCTGCACGCACCGTGGAATAGACGCCATTCTGATCGCTGACCGAAGTTTTCCCGTCCCAAAAGTCCAGGCCCATTTCTGCAAAGAAGTAGAGGACAAAATAAGACTTGAATGTTTCACCGAAATAAAATTACTATGTATCCATCCATCCATTGGTCCCATGGCTATTCGATAGCAGTAGTGGCAGCATAGTGTTCAACTAGTATGAATGACTTCTAAAAATATATTTTAAAATAATATGACAAGAAAAAGGAAAAAAAGAAGCTTCTACATGCACATTTGTATGTAACAACATAATGCAAATGACATACAAGGTGCGTACTGCTCGACTTTTAATTTGTAACAATCGTGAAATATGGTGTTTTCAGTACCGTCCTTGTGTGTATAGTAGTCCTCTTCTCCATGGTGATAGCCATAGAAGGAGTCGAACCCGCGTTCCGTAGGCGTGTATTCCCATTTGCAGGACCCAAGATGCCATCTAGAGCATGATATATCAGACTTGTTTCACAAAGAACCCGAAGTACTCACCGAGAAAGTGTAGCGAAGCCGTATCACTACTAACTAACGATAAAGTAATAATAGAAATAAAACAATAAAAGCATAAATCATGCTTAATCTTACCAAATGAATGCAGCGTCAGATCAATGAATTATAGACGTGTAAAGCAGTGGTAACAATGATTTTTCATATCATAACTCTTGAAACGCATTAATGAACATGGTGGTGCACACATTGATAACACCATGTGAAAATGCGTACGTTCTGTACTAGTACAAACATTCGAACTTTGGAGAACTACGTATGAGAAAAAGAGACTTACTTTCCAACCATGTGTGTTGCGTACCCCAGTTGCTTCAGTTTCTGTGGGAGGATTTCTTCGTCCAAGGGGAGTCCATAGCGTGTCCTCGAGTCAACGGGACGCTGTGAAAAACACTTAGCATTCAGTCTGTATTTCTGTGTTCGGTGTGTTTCATGTTTTCGGGTTATCCAACAATTAAATGTAAATTGAGATGATGTATAGAAGAAACATTCTTCAATCTACTAATCATATGTCAGCATTAAATGTACATAGGGCGATGGACTAGCAAAACCAAAAACAATTGAAGCAGGTAGAATATATGGCAAGTACTAAATATAAAGCTATTCAATGCGCGCTACGCTATTATATAGGTGATTTTTTTCTAATCAATACAAAGGGAGCCTGGTGTAAGCATTAATACGATCAGTGTCGGCACAATCCGTGACTATTACCATGACGTATAATATGACGTCAGCGACCCCCCTCCCCCCCACAGTCTGTGTACAGGCGCACACAGGTTAAATTGTTTCTCGTATTTACCTGCATTCCCAGACGGAAAGGATACTTCCCAGTCAATAGGGCAGTCCTAGATCTGCAGAGTGAAACACATAATATCGAATTTCTAAATGCTTCATCAATGTGAATTGTCCTGATTATCAAGATTACACACGAGGTGTTGCCATCAGTGCATTTTGTTTTAGAATTAGGCCATGTTGATTTGATTATATGGTTGTCCTCAAAACTGATGCGAGCGTGCGAAGTTTGGCAAAAAAGTTGCCTTCATTATGAAATGTAGGTGGCCATGAAGGTTGAACAAATGACCGCACAGGTTGAACACGCGGAGTAATATTTTATTGGCATGGTGAATAATAGACTCTTCATTTTCATTCCTTCACATTTTCTCCTTGCAAGATTATACATGGGCTGCAGCCACCATGCGGTTTGTTTTAGAATTAGATTTTATGTGAACTTACGGTGAGCATGTCATTTGGCCGTATGTTTGGTTGAAAATGACGCCGGCGGTTGCCAAGGTCTGCAGAGTCGGCGTCACCACATTCGGGTTGTTCCAACTGACGTCACTCCATCCTGTGTATATGTAGATCAGAAAAACGGTTACGCCAAGGCTATATGCAACATACAATGAAAGTAACTTATGAACATTAAAAAAAATTGTGAATAAAATGGATTAAGTTCACTTGGAAAGAAATTACACTGAAAACTTTTACACAACCCTCCTCCTCGCATTTCTGGATTGTCCCTGAAATTAAATCCATTTTACAAACGTTGAAGGTGCTGTAATTGGAACTCCGCTACTCATAATTGTGCATTTAGAACGGTATTAGCCTAATTGCCGTTACGACTGAATCCCATACTTCCAGTGCCAGCTTGGTATTGTTTAATAAGTTTCTACTAGTAATCTACGGACCAGCTGTCCTTCTGAGTCTTTTCCCACATCTTGAAGCCGGAAAACAGATGTCACTATCGCCAGAAATGAGAAATAGCTTGCCAAGTGATCATGAGCCGTTTGGGACTCGACAGCACTTGTCTTTTACTTGCTTGCATTTGTTTGTAAAAGATAGTGATGTCAAAAGACACAAGTACTAACTTAGTAGCACGTACTTTGCCAACACGTAACCGAGTTAACTCTTTAGGTTTCTTTTTTTTATGTCAGATATATAATTCAGGTGCTTCAAAGTCCTTTACAGCCTACTACGTCCTCAGTTTTGATTAAAGTTCAGATATTGAAGCATACAGCCGGAGGCCTACACAGGAGGCTATTTACATAGCGTTGCTCGGTTCGTCAGAACAATCGTCACGCAGCGGTAGGACACAGAGGTATAGTTAAAGGATATAAAGAAAACATCGTGTACATATAGAATACAACACGGGGTATTCCGCCCGAGGTATCGGCCCGACAGCGGGTCGGATCGCCCGACGGCCGCAGGCCGATCCGACTCGCGGGAGGGCCGGGACCAAGGAGGTCACTCTCTCAACGGATGCACCATTCAAGGTAAGTAATCTTTGGTCTTTTTAGCATTGGCACTCATGCAGAATGAGTTTGCCCAGGCGTCAACTTTGTCCAATGCCACCTGCATTAGACCCGGCAAGGAGGCCATCAAAAACTCTGAGTTCGTTATGTCATACCCACCCAAGAAAACAAGCCTTTTAATGCGAAATGAGCGAAAATTTGGTGTCCCTAAAACCATAAAATGCATTAACGTCAATTCCAACGTCCGAATTTTGTATTCGAATTTTCGAAAGCGGTGCAAGCGGTTCCTTAGGGCGAAACGCGTTCAAATCGTTCTATGGAACATTTGGAAGCCCCGGGCCGTACGCGTTAAGAACCCCCGGGCTGTACCGCTAGTTATCACACAGGCCGGAACACCCGTATCGAACGTAATCGCGGCCCAGGTAGGACATATAGAATACAACACGGGGTATTCCGTATCGCCCGAGGTATCGGCCCGACCGCGGGTCGGATCGCCCGACGGCCGCAGGCCGGGAGGGCCGGGACCGAGGGCGATGCGGAATACACCGTGTTGTATTTTATTTATGTCATACCCACCCAAGAAAACGGGCCTTTCAATGCAAGATGAGCCAAAAGTTGGTGCCACTGAACCCTAAAATGCAACATCAATTCCAACGTCCGGATTCTGTATTCGAATTTTCGAAAGGGGCACTAGCGGGTAGTGCGAAACGCGTTCGAATCGTTTTATGGAAGCCATGGAAGCGCTCGATAACGGGTTCCGGACCGGGCCGTACCGAAAGTACGGCCCGGCCCGGAACCCGTTATCGAACGTTATCGCGGCCCGGGTATGAATAAAAGTACTTACCCAAGTCGTCGGCTACGATTAGTAGAATATGAGGCTTGGTGGTGGTTTGAGCCGTCCCTTGACCACACAGAAAGGCCACAATCGCCCTGACAATCGCGATAAGAAAAACTACAGCCATCTTCACCAGCACTTACTGCTGAAGTACTGACTAGCTGTTCTGGTCCTGGCCGCGGTTTGTGTGTGTGCCACATAACAATCCTTGGTTATATAGGTAAGCTTGACATGACCACGCCCTGTACCACCAGGCACAGGATACCGGAACTTGGAAGCTTTACGACAATGTCGGTAAAGGGTAATGCCCGCGCGGGCAACGTCCTAATGTACAACATCCTAATGTACAACATCCTAATGTACATCTGATTATATTGGATGACATCCGCGCGCGCATGAATTTTCGTCCGTTTCCAAAAAAAAGTTTTTGACCATACTGTAAATCGTACAAAATGAGCGAATGTATGTCGTATGTTGCAAAAATAGTATTGGAAAACGATGATACAAATGTCATAGAATGCTAAAATCAATTCAGGAAAATAAGAAAATGTGAAGAAATGAAAATGAAGAGTGTTATTATTCCCCATACCATACTCTGTGTGTTTAGTCACCTTTATGACCAAGTAGATTTTATAATGAAGGGAACTTTTTTTGGTCCATTTGCCAAAATTTTTTATTTGCATGCTCGCGTGAGTTTTGGGGTTCCCAGGGGATATCATCCATATAATCAATTTGAGGGGTAAGTTGTGCCAGTGAGTAGATATAGCTCTTACAAAGTCTTTGTGCCAATAAAATGCTGCAATGCTGTTGGTCTCTGAAATTTCCATAAGACAAATTTTGGAGTAGATCAAACTTTAGAGAGAGAGAAGAGAGAGAAGAAAGAGAAATGGAAAAAATGACGTAAAAGAAGAGCAGATGGGTGGATCAAAGGCAAAGACATTGAAAAGAGAATTCTAGTAATCCATGGCCAGGTTCATTGACCTTTTTCTGTGATATTTGCAGTACCTTACAAAACCGTTAGAGTACCCAAAATTTCACACTGGCAAAGCAAAGACTTTTAGACACATTTAATTCACTCCAATACATTGTGTATATCTTCCAAACAATGCACATCCTTTCTCTTAACAGATTACACATCACTATGTTGTTTAAGTGAAAGTTATGGTTCTGCTAAACACTAGCTGGAGTCATCTATCTTTTTGTCAACAGGATCAGCTTGTTGGCAGCAGCAATCTTCAGATGTATGTGAGATAGCTTGTGTTGTTGCTGGGATGAGATCACTCTTAATGTCCACCACTTGCACCTGTTGTAACACATAGGAGGGGTATCATGTGTAAGGGCAACATGCCAAGTAGTATACACAGTAAAATCCTATCAGATAACTAGTACTACACTCGTGCATTACATTTCCTGAGAGTTATAGTGACAAAAAGGACACAACTGCAAATTCTTTCTAAGTGAATATGCATCTATAACCTACAATGCAGGTCAAGTTTCAGTTGATAAAGAAGAAAAGCTGAAGTACAGAACTTCACTATCACTAAGTTGAATGTTGGGTACAGAATTGGGCGACATGGGAAATATACCTTGATCCTTTGATTCATCCTTTGTGATGTCTGGTGGGTAATAAAGTCAGGTATGTAAAATCAGGTTCTTACTGGCCTTGGAACTTGTGGCTGGCTAAATACTGCCTGAATATCGGAACATTTTTCACAAAGTGATTACTAGTATAATAATTCATATCATGTGCAGTTAACAAATAGCCTGGGTACCATCCTACTTGTATGCCAGGGCTCCCACACTCGCTTCCCTAAAAAGGCGAGTATGGGAGCCCCGTTATACAAGTAGGATGGTACCCAGGCTAGTTAACAAAAGAATACTGGTACTAATGTTATGCTTACCACCCTCAAGTCTCTTCTGTCTCCTTGCCCCTGAAAAGAAGAAAGGTAAAATTTTTAATTTGCATAAAGAAGCATCACATCCAATGGACAGTATTGATATATTGATGAAGCATCAAAACATACTGGTCGATCAATGACACAGTCACATAATGAGCAATCAATATTCACCATATTACAATACATTTACTCTTTTTATTGATATACATGTACATGTAGTACCATAAACTTGTTACTTTTCTGCTACAGTACTTCTTTAATGCTATGTAGTTTGATGCTTTTTGGCCTCTGGTCTGTAATGTTTTATGACCCTTACTGGAAGGTTAGCCCAGCATGGGGGCCAAATGGTCTCTCCATAAATTCACCTCAATACAACAGATACTTACTGTAGCCAGCTGCAGTGATCTTGGTCCACAGATAGCCAGTGATGACCAGCCCTGGGCCTACATCTCTGTACTCCCACAGGTATGGCTTGGTGGTCTGGTACCAGTTTCTCCCAAAGTTGGTGAGGAGCATGATCAGGTTCCACTCTGCCTGCGGTCGCACCGGCATGATTACCTGTCAAACACACAACACTCAGTTCAGAATGCTGTTCTGTTACATGTCAGTATTTACTGATGTAGGCCGTCATAGGTTTCCATAGTTGTCTTTGGCTGCCATCCACATTGACAAGATCACAACCCAACCAATCTCTTTCAAATTTATAGCTTCTTCTTCCAATGATGTAATAAATACCTAAATATTATACTTACATGATGTCTCTCTATGACTTGCCATAATTTTTACACTCATTGAAGAGTCATTATGGTATTTACTGAATCATCGTGCTTGATATGATCTAAAGGGTACCATCTAAAGTTATACAACACGCGACAAGTGGAAAATTTATTTACATGTAGTTTGTGGAGCAGTGTTTCTTCCATGAATCGTTTATATATTCATTAGCAAATAACGAAGTAGTGACCAAATTTCTTCAAAAATTTCCCATCTAGCTGAATGTACAATACTGAAAAGAAGAAGAGAACCGGTAGATATAGAGTCAGCAGAGGTCAACACTAACTTGTGATGACTTACACCGGCATGGGAGCTAGTATTAGACCAGCGGGTCAGCTGAACGTTACTTCTTAGGTACCTTGAAATACACATTTACCTACGAGTGGTGTGGTATGCTATGAGGCAGTGAAAATGTTGTGATATTGTGTGAAATGGAGGGAGGTGTACTGACCTTCGTTGCTTCTGTCCTGGCTGAAAAATGGCGGATGGCAATGAATCGCAAAGGCTGACGGGTAAGGTCGTGAGTAGAAAGAAATGATCCTGCAGACATACCATATTCCGCCAGGGGTCGCAGCAGGTCGTATCTCTTTCCACTTTTTGGATTGGGCAAGGACATTATACACATATAACGTCTGGATGTATAATATGTGTATAATGTCCTTGGATTGGGTGAAAAAAATTCCGGCATAAGAGAAACCCCCATTTAAAAAGGCCTAAAAACACGACAAAAATAACCCCAAACCCAAACCTCTGCTTGGAGAGTAGAATTTTTTACTCAACCGCTTGAATTCATCACTGTATACTACTGAAACAAATTCTTCAGATTCCATGTTCACTACTCTAAATAGGTCTTGACATAACGTTAACCAAGAAGGTTAAACGTTAGATAAAGACCCCATTCTACCCAATTTTCCCAACTGCCCCCCTGACAATTGTTTGATTAAAAAAAATCCAACAGCCGATAACAAGAAATTCATCAATGCTTTATTGAAGATCCCATGTCACAAAAGTGACACATAAAGATACTTGATACTGCCATGAGCCAAGCTGAAGTATTAAAAATGTAATTCTAAACAATTAATTTTATTTTCCAAATAGCACAATAATATTAACAATTAAATTATACAATTTCCATAATTATATTCCACAACCATGTAGTTGCTTTCTGGAGATAAAACAGTCATTCATATGATCAAAGCACTGAGCAGCTATTAATAAAGGGCAGAGAAGTTACATTCATCATTTTCATGACATCAATATGAATAACATTACCCTGCTAAGATTTTTTAAAAAGTAACTCTTATCTTATCAGACCAATCTGAACTAAATTAAAATAAATGCCTTAGTAACTATTATTGACACTACAATGTTCAGTTAATCTTACATTGCAACAGTTTGAACAAACCAATTATCTAAATAATTTCTCAAAGCTGTTTGATCCTCCTACAAAATGAGTCCACATATTCTGATTATGTATGGTATTTGCGATATGTATGATTGTAATTTTGCAAGTCATTAGTCTTATATATGTGATTTTACATGATTATATATTGATGTAGAACCACAGGAAGAATAGCAACAGTGTAAACTGAAGCTACTAGTGGATCCAAATAAAGTTAATGTCAATGTGGCAACGTGTTCTGTATCACACACTGTGCTCATGAAGCCTGGGCTTCAGCCTGGGCAGCCCCCTCAGCTGACGTCCCCTCTGCAGACGTTTGCTGACCGCTGAGCCCCACGAGCTTCTCGCTGACCTCCCATAACCTTCTGGCCACATCGTCATCCCTGGCCCTGGAGCTGGGCTGCTTTGGTGCACAGTCACTACAGCAGGGGAACGGGAATGTAAAATATACATGTAACACAAAACAAGACAATACATGACGTACAGTAACACACCTGTTAATGTATACTGTCATCAAAGTCAATGTAGGTGACAATTGGTCCTTTGATTTTGATACTTACTAAGACCGTATGGTATTTGGAATAAATCATTTACTAGTACTGTTATATAGGAACTGTCACTTGTCCATTACAATACAGGGCATGCTGCCACAGTACCTGAAATATTGTCCTGTCTTGTCCTCCAGACCCTCCATCACGGCACAGTGGATGGTCGTCTGGGCGCCCTGCACTACAGTCTTGCCAAACCACTTGGCAAAGGTGTTGATGACGCCACTCTTCCAGCCCATGCTGGTACCCAGGTGGTTGTACAGGTCTGTCTTGATCACTCCTGGGTGGAGCGAGTATGTCGTCACACCTGTCCCTGTATGCACAAAACAAGCATATATCAGGCTTTTGGTATCTCAGAACTTTCTTTGTGACATAATGTCATTCAGATTTATACTCAAGATGCTTGTGAAGAAAAACATACCCTAGCCTGGGTAGTGATCTAGACTTTAATCATGGTAACTTTAAAGTAAGGGTGTAGAAAGGGTGTCAGTTCTGTTTTTTCTGATTCTGGATAAAAGATTGAGTGCCCTCTACTATCACAATTCAGTTCAAACATCATCCTTGAACAACATGCAGTTTACACACACACACAAAAAAAAATCCTCAATACCACATTCACTGTTGACACATACTGTTCATTTTTTACTAAAAACCAACCAAACTATACCTACCCTCCAGCTTTCTGGCCAGCTCCCTGGTGAAGCTGATGTTGGCTATCTTGCTGTCCCCGTAGGCATCAAACGGCACATACTGTCTCTTCTCCCACTGCAGGTCGTCGAAGTTTAGGTTGCCGCCTTTGTGTGCCATGGAGGAGACGTTAACAACCCTGCTGGGGGCAGACTTCTTCAGCAGGTCCAGGAGCAGGTTGGTGAGGAGGAAGTGCCCCAGGTGGTTCACTCCAAACTGCAGCTCAAACCCGTCCTCCGTCTGTGTCTTTGGAGGAGCCATCACTCCTAGAAATCACAGGAGCAAAAAATTGTAGATTATCATGCACAGAAAAGAGTACTGATAAGATATGTCAATTTATAGTGCATGCTGTGTGAACTGTTGTTTGGTTATATGTATTTGACAGCATGTATAATGGGGGGGATGCCCTAACTTCTGACGTGCCCTAACTGGATGGATTTTTTACTGATCTTATTATGCAAAAGTATGCAAATTAACAAGGCAAATAAACAAAGTCAATGCATCCAGGTGTTATTTGCATGCAAAGTATAGTTCTATATATTTGTTTCTCGTTTTGTCGAAAAAAGGAATATTGGTCATTTTCACCAATCACAACAATGGCACTTGAAAGAGGGTCACTGCATGGCGGTGGCTCATACCCAGAACTAAAAGACCTGTACCAAGATTTGACACAGCTGCCGCATACACAAGGAACAGTAAATATGTGGGTCTCTGAGTGTTTGTTTTGTAGAAAATTGACCTGTGAAAAACAACGTCAACGCCACTGTTGTCTGCATTTCACATGATCCCCCTGGGACTGCATTGATTGCGTAAGCTGGGATTTCAGTTGAAACATGGACTTATTACATTACCCCGTAGATACTATCCTCCTCTCATGAGACGAGAGGTACACACAATCACAATTTTACTGTCCAAAGAAAGCTAAAATATCATGAAAGTCCATTCTTAGTTTTGTTTACTTATTAATTTCATCATCAACGCCTGAAGACAGCAAAATTACCAAAGCGTCCAAAACTGTCTAGTGTAGCTGCATTCACGAAGGTACATTCACGAAAATGTCTCACAGAGTTTGTCACTTGTAACGCAGAGCGTAAAGGGCTCATGAATAGTATGAATGAATTTCTTATGCAAGTGTGTTGTTTACATTAAGGTTCTCAAAGTTCATTCATCAAAACCTAATCACTCTCTGACAACTAGCGATAGAGCGCCGTGAGTTTCAGCGTGTGAAAAGGCGTCCGATGTTATTCACACCACACAGCAGTGGTAAAGAGAGGTCTTTTCAGCAGGATACAAGTGCTATGAAAACAGGAGTCATATTTTGGACTTTAACCATTATGTTTAAAGCATGTTTGACAGCTGCTGAGTTATACACATCCAGCTTCAACCAGAGGGCGGAGGCCAACAGAGCAAGACGTCACAAGCCAGCTCAGCAGCAGGGCCAGTACGTCTGTAAGGTATGCGGTCGTGTCCTGGCTGCTAGATTTGGCCTCATCATCCACCGAAGAACCCATTGAGAGTGAGAGACTACATTGAGGGACGTCATCATCGTAAGCAAGTATGTTTTAGTGTTGAATTAAAGTAGTTGTAAAATACTGACCTGCATTGTTAATCAGAATGTTGAGTTGTTCTTCTGTCTCGTTGATTTTCTGAGCGAAGCTGCGTACAGACGCCAGGGAGGCCAGGTTCAGTTGGTGCACAACAATGTTCTCATTCTTAGTCTCTTCCTTGATGTCGTCTGCAGCTTTCTGGGCTCTGGTCAAATCTCGACAGGCCAGGATGATTTTTGCTCCTGTCATTGAAAGAAAATATCTTGTTCAGACTGATTATTGGTTTGTGACGTAACCAACGTACTGGCCAAAGCTGAATAGCCACTGACAGCATATTTAGGGACCATACTTAAATACTTACTGAGGGGTGGGCAGTTTGCGTGGAAAGTCAGGTCCAAAAAATTTCTCTGGCACTTCCCCTAAGCTAAATATTTTTCCCCACCCCCCACTATAAGAAAACTTTCCTTGGCCCTCCCCCCTTTCTCATCTGGTTGTGAGAGTTTCACGGATGCTCGTGACTCTTTTCCGCCAGCCCTTCCTATCCTCCATGGCCCTTGGCAGGTCTTCTGGTCTGCAACCCGCATCCTCACACAGTTTCTGAAACATTAAAACTCCCCCCAAAACTATTCCAAGATGCTCGAAAATGACACAAATGACACAAAAACAACTAAAGGTATATGTATCCTAGTTATGAAATACATGTAATCAATAATAATTCATTTCATTAGCATAATACCGGTACCGGTATTATTTATAACGTAATATGTGTTCAGGGCGCGACGTAGTGAAGTATACAAACCATCCATTTGGAAGATCTTTATTTATTTTACCTCTATGACAAATTAGTAAAGAAAAGATCTTCCAGATGGATGGTTTTTCCTTGACTCACCTCTTCCCGCCAAGTCCTTGGCTGTCTCAAAGCCGATGCCCTGGTTGGCCCCAGTTATTATGACCGTCTTCCCGTCAAGGCGGGCCTTACTCTGGCACATGGAAGGCATGGTACTGGCAGATCTTGAATCCACTGGTTATAGTCACTGGTTGTCTATCATGTGGAGATATGGAGAGGTGATAACAGTTATTACATGTAACGTTTTATCTTAGATCTGGCCTATCACTGTCCATAACGTTATATGTGACCTTTGTAGACTGACATATAACTACAGAAACAGATTTTTTTGCAAGTCATGCAGTACCTATTACCCTCAGTCAACTTGCAATGTCCAAGGACAATGTCCTTGGTTACATAAACACTTGCAAAAACCACATCTATTTTTTACATGTACTAAAGTATGTGATTCTGCCTGTGATTCTACTTGATTCTGATACTTCCTGTTCAGATACAAGAGATAATAGAAGTTCATATTCATTGTAAAATCGGCAAAACATACTCACAACAAGGGGTTTATGCTCTCAGGTACAGCTTGTCCACTAAACTTCTGTACGGAAGTGACTGTTTCTTTCGAAGTGAACGCGAGGTCCCTGAACTATGACCGGTGGATAACACAGACCGCTGATTGGCTACCATCAGTGTGCCCCGCCCATTTCTGCTATTCCGACTAAATCGCGCTCCTAGCGACCTCTCCGAAAACAACAGCCTGTGTAACACAGGCTAACATTTCTACCACCTTTGTATGAACATTTAGGATGTTAAGATTTCAGGAATAGATGCAGTATACAATTTAGTATATGCAGTATACGATTTAGATGGTAACTTCTACATCAAGGCAGCTGCAACATTTTTGTTTAATTCAGTTATTCTTAGACCTGTACTTAGCTTGTTTACAAGAACATAAAAGTCTTTAATGCCAAATAATGGCCTTTTATTCGTTAAAATAAATGATGGTTCATCCACGTATGTCAATATCCGAATGATTTTAAAAGTCACCAACTATGTAATGTCCTTGAAGACACGGAGATATTTAGACCATTTGATAAGCACTAAAAAGGCACGTGAACTGCACATGATCAATTCTGACCTTTGTTCACAACAGTTTATAAACCAGCAGGTCGTTGACATGCGAATTTGGCAGACACTCACACATGTAGGACTGGCGACGCATAATTACCTTCAGCCGGCCAGACGAATTTGTGAACGTAAAAGTTTTTGGTCATGTAAAGCGTTCGGTTGCTGAACATGCTAACTTGGGATCAAAAGTCATGGATTTAAAAAAAATATATTTCCCCGAGACGAGATTTTATTCAGAATGACAAAATATTGAATCGTCTCATAGCAACACTGACGTAACCTTGGACAGGACACGCTGACATCGGAAGAAATTGTAGCATATATATATATTTGTCCAAACCTTTGTGATGTCGGTTGCTGGGGTAAACAGTATGTAGTACGTACATATGACATAACTCATGATCACGAGGTGACCTGGAGGTGCCAAAATGGTCTACAACTGTAGACATCTGAATTTGTCAGAGGCAGTCATTCAGGACTGAACAGTTAATACTCGTATTGATACGGTCAATACACCTTTTTTGCAGTTAGCGGTGGGCACTTAAGCCCGGAGAGCTGGTAGTGGTGGCATGGTGAAAGGTGTACTTAGGACCACTTGTTCCACCATGCCTTCCATGTACATGTGTATGTGGTGAATTGTAATAAATAAATAAATAAATAAATAAATAAATAAAAAATAGAAGTGAAGGGGCGATGACGACAGCGGCAAAATGGTGCTCTAAAGCTATCCCGGATGCCAGACACAGCAGACCTAGCACGCTAGTCCCAGGCTACTCTCTGAAGCGTACGAACATAAGGATTTTTGACAACGTTCATAGTAATTCAATAGACGATCTGTAGCGTTGTAACATTGTGAAGTTAAAATTTGAATTTATTCACATTGACAAGGACACATTCTCTGCATAAATAAAGTCCTTGACATTACACTGCTGCAGTACTATAGAATGCCGATAGAAGGCCCATTACCAAACGTGTCCTTTGTTTTACCAATGCCTATCCATGTACAAAATATCACTTTGATGAAGTTTGAAGTTTCTCGAATAGTGCTTTTTAAAAACACACGCACATGTAAACATAACATACTTGACGAAAGCATTTGTCATGTACCCAACCTCCGTGACCTTTCTCTTTGCAGAGCGCACGACACAAACCGGCTTTTCTGCACGTTCTGCATTGAAATTGGTCAAATTATTTTGATAAAAATCAAAAGGCTTCTGGAGCCACAGACTGGACAGAACACCTCCACCGCTCGGAAGCCAAAATCATCGAAGCGCTAGTACAGTAAGTCTGGCGGAGTATAACTTCACTATAAAGTAGGTACATGTACTTTGTTCATCGTTCTTGGCCATTTAGTTTGTAGCGTAGTATTTGCAAGTGACGTCCAAAGAAAGCAGGCCCTATCCTCTACCAGGCTTCGTAAGCGACTGTAAAGAGTAGAAATCGGCCAAAGAAATAGATATCATGCCAGCCTGTTTTTTTTACCGCTAAGAAGTGCATTTGTCGCATGCCGCGAACGCCTGGCCTATGCGTTATCTGTTAGCCTGGGTGCCATCCACACATCACATAGATTCTATTTCTATGTTTCAATTTTTAAAGGATCCAGGGATACGGCCATTCCCCAACAACTATCCGACAACAAATACGTACTAGTATATACTCATTTGGTGGCATTGCTTGTGTATGACACAGGGGTAGTTAGCAAGAGTTATACATGCTGGAGCCGGGTGGCATGCATGAGTGCGAAGAGGGAGCGCGGATTTGGTTACCTATGACATTATGATTGTTCCCAGTATCACACAATGTAAATGTGTCTAAAAATATTAATTCTATCACTCAGAAACTAAAAGACAGTCCCCGTCAAATGTACTTGAAAAGAAAGGCACAACGAGAAAACGACTTACAATGGATCTGCTAAAACCACCTATGACATCAGTTTAGACATTCATGGTCAGATCGTTAGGTTCCCTCAGTAAGTAGGACAACGGTTAATGTCTTTTGTAGATGAAAGTTTGCACACATTCCACAGCAGTTTTGCATTCTAAGTATAGATCATAAAGATTACGACAGAGCATACTTGTGTTGGGGTTGGGCACATGGGTACAATGCCTTCGGTAAAGAGCACCATCATACAGTTGGTATCAGAGTTGTTGTTTTTTTTGGGGGGGGGAGCGAGTTTGTTTATAATAATATATAAATACCGATTTTTGTGGGTTGGCTCTGATCTCGGAATACCGATTCAGATTTGCCGACTCCAAAATTGTTCCCCATTTTGATTGACATGTTACAGTGGTCAATGCTTTGGGCAACACGCAGTGCCAGGTTGTCAGGCTCTTGAATGATTGATAGTATTTGATATTATCCTTCTGCCTGAACAGTAGATACTGAACAGGCACGGTAACGAGTCGTTTTTCAGATCGTATCAGACATTAAATGGTAGGGCAGATGTATGACAAATATGCATCACCTGGGTCGCGCTGCCCAGCGACATTGGGAGCCGGCAGAAACTACGGAAGATCGCACCCAGGCTAATACATGACATTGCGTACCCCGAAAGAACTTTCGTCGCGTTATGTAAAAATATGTCTTCTGATAAAAATAACAAGTGTCTATAGGCGACAATTCCCCGTGAAGTTTTATATTTTGCAAATACATATGATACATACACAACAACACGATAATCATCTTTCATAACAATATCTTTCATTTACTACATATTATTCATTTGATAAGGTCGTAGTAGGAGCAAACCAGTCACAATCCAAGTCACTAGTATTTGAAACTTAACTCACGAAGTCTGGGAGTCTGGTGGGCAAGGAACACAACAGCACGCTGTGGGTCATTGACACACAAGTCCTTTGACGTCACGGTAGTGCAGTGTATGGGCGTTACCCTTCAGTGATTTGATCTCGTGTATTCATTCCAGTAGTCATCGGGCGTCTGGACAAAAGTCAAAATCTTTGCTTTATTTGCCGTATTAGCTATATATATAGCAGGTATACGTGTCGATTTAGCACAAAGTGACATTTTATAGTACTTCAGAAGGACATACTTCAAGTCAGATATCTCATATGACACAGTAGGTTGCTCTAGTAAGATATTTCGATTAGCTAAAGTTTTTGAATCGTACAATACATGTAACTTATCATCGTACTTCTTAAAACTATTAAAGCCCTTCGCGTTGGCAATGGCGCTATTTGTTGGTATAGTTACACACGCTTAAGTGCGCTATTATTGGTCACGCCTCCTTCTTAACGGCTCTAATACAGCATTGACCTAATCCCAAGCTCGCAGCTCGTACTGCATTTGACATTTGCGTGTGTATTATAAGTCGGGAAGTAGATTTCACTACCATACCCGAGTATTAGTGTTGCTATATGGTTGCCTTTTGATACTAGGTTAGGCCACAGCAAGTATATTTTATGGATCACATCCTCCTCGACTCCAAATCGTGTGGCGCAGTCGGTAGCGCGTTCGGCTCACACCCAAGAGGTCGCGGGTTCGAACCCTGCCCTTGTCACCGATCTTGTGCCCTTGGGAAAGGCACTTTACACGACTTTCCTCACTTTACTCAGGTGGAAATGAGTACCTAGCTTCGGTTAGGGACGTCCCTCGGATAGGACGTTAAATGGAGGTCCCGTGTTTGGGAGAGCCACATCCCACGCACGTTAAAGAACCCACCGCACTTATCGAAAAGAGTAGGGGATCCTCCCGGTGTGAGTGGTTCAAAACCTTACAGTCCGGTCTTACGCGGCTTGTACATGTACGCACATGTATAACATGTGTAACACACATGTACAAAACTGGTGTGTTACGCCTGAAGGCGGTTTACCGGTTATGCGAAACAAACAAACAAACAAACAAACAAACAAACAAACAAACAAACAAATCTAATGCGAAAAAAACAAAACGGGCCAAAAAAACAAGAATCCTACATTTTCAAATTTTGACATCATAAACCTTGTTAAGCAAATTAATGATACCTATATTGTGCTATCTTTACTGCCAACTATTACAACATCCATTTGTCACTGAAGAGTTTTCAATCATTGTACAAATGGTTTTGATTCAGTGGGAACATCACATATAAAAGGTAAATACATCATACGTGGTTTATACGTGGCGTCCGGTGGCGTAGTGGTAGACCATTCGACTGTGAACCGGGAGACCGGTTCGAACCCGAGTCGTACCCGGGACATGTCTGAACATGCGCCCCGACGTTGTGCCCTTGGGAAAGGCACTTTACACGACTTTCCTCACTCCACCCAGGTGTGAATGGGTACCTAACTTCGGTTGGGGAAAGTCGTATTGAGGTCACCTTGTGGCGCCGAATGGCAGCCGCACAGACCCTTGCGACAAATATATGTGTTATCATGTGTATTACTTGTTTGTTGTGATTTGTATTGATTATTATGTGATACCCTTCATCAATTCAGCCGTTAAGGCTGCGACTGCACGGGTACTGTTTGGACAATAAAAACCATTATAAAGACCATTATCACAGTGCATCAACTGAGTAAAAGACAAAACAATAAATCAGATCCCTGTCTC